AGTGTGACATGCTTTTGACTGGGAAGACAAACTGGAGTGATTGGGAAGACAAACTGGAGTGACTGGGAAGACAACTCTTTGTCTTTGCATAACTCCCCGGGTTTGGAAGGCCACAGCTCGGAATATTCTGTGCTTTCTCTGGCCTATGGCTTCCTTTTCTCTCACCTTGCTTCTCCATGTTCCTGCAATGCCTCTCCCTCCACCACTGCCTTCTTCTCTAGCAAACTCCTGCTTCTAGGGAGTGTAATCCACAAGCCCCAGCCTTTTATTAATAACTCTCAGTGCTTCATGTTAGAAAACCAGCCCTACCCCCTGATGCTTCCTCAGGGGCTTTGATTTCGGCAAAGACCACAGTGGAGCATGACGTGGGCTCCTGTCTCCATAACTCAGTAGTCCATCATGGAGCACACCTGCAAGGTCAAAGTGCCTGGGCCACTGCCACTTCCAGCCTCAGCACACCTGAGGGAAGGGCTGGCCTTCCCTCATCATCATCTGGGTGCTCGTCAAGACCCCAGTTGGGCCTTGCCCTGGCCTTTTTGGCGTTCGTTGGTACCCTTTCTTGCCCATTGAAGACGTTCTAGCAATGTTCAACTTTGAAAGGTTGGAGTCTGCCCTTTTCTTCTAGAAGGTTCCTAGGCTTCTACAAAAATTCCCCCACCTCTTTCTCTACTAGCAGTTCTCCTGTCCACCTGGAGAGGGAAACTTTTTTGCCAAAGTTCCACCTGACCAGTCTCTCTCTTTTTCCCTCCCTCTCTTCCTCCCTACATCTCTCTCCTCACCTGCTACGGTTTGAATGTTTGTCCCCTCTAAAACCCATGTTGAAATTTCATTGTCATTGTAACAGTATGAAGAGGTGGGCCCTTTAAGAAGTGATTAATCAATCCATGAGGGCTCTGCCTTCTTGGGTGGGATTAATGCCTTTACAAAAGGGCTAGTTTGCCCCCTTTTTCCTTCTCTTTTTGCCCTTCTACCTCACACCATGTAAGGATGAAGCATTCTCCTTCTCTGGAGGACAACAGCATTCCAGGCGCCATCTTGAATCACAATCCCCAAACCCGCTAGTGCCTTGATATTGGACTTCCCAGCCTCTAGAACTGTGAGCCGATAAACTTCTGTTCATCGTAAATTACCCAGTCTCAGGTATTCTGTTATAGCAGCACAAACAGACTAAGATATCACTCTTCTTTCTTCCTCCTCTTCTTCTTCTTCTCTCTTCCTTTCCTTCCTCTCTCTCTGTCCCCCTTTCTCTCTCTCCATATATATACACATATATATGTTAATATAGGTAAAGGAATTTCCTAATGGTGCTATGCCTAGATTTTAAGTCATCAAAGGATTTGTTCTTTATAATCACCCATTCACTTGATTAAATATGTCCCGAGATACAAATTGATGAGCCTTAAAAATTAGAAAACCACTGATTTTTACTAATTATTCCTACTATAAAATCCATAATCAGTAGAATTGCTAAATGAGTTCACTACTGTTCTTCCTTGGTAGGTATCAGAATTAAGGAAGTTGTTTTTCATTAGAGGAAGACCTGTAGAGCCAGATTTAGTTACCACTTCCCTGAATTTAGGAACACATTGATTTTGATGCCTTCTGAGAACCACTTCAGAAGTCACCTTCTGGGCCAGAAATAGCAATACTGAGAAACTTAACGTGTCTAGCACTTTGAACAGCAAGACACAAAACTCTCTAGTGGGATGCTTTTCATTTTGCATGGTTTATTTGTGTTCTGGTGAAGAAGTTCTCACTGTAAGACACTGACAGACTGCATTGGTGCCTTCAGGACAATAAGGCCCTAGGGGCCGGGCGCGGTGGCTCACGCCTGTAATCCTAGCACTCTGGTTGGCCGAGGCGGGCAGATTGCTCAAGGTCAGGAGTTCGAGACCAGCCTGAGCAAGAGCGAGACACCGTCTCTACTATAAATAGAAAGAAATTAATTGGCCAACTAATACATAGAGAAAAAATCAGCCAGGCATGGTGGCACATGCCTGTAGTCCTAGCTACTCGGGAGGCTGAGGCAGGAGGATTGCTTGAGCCCCGGAGTTTGAGGTTGCTGTAAGTTAGGCTGACGCCATGGCACTCACTCTAGCCTGGACAACAAAGTGAAACTCTGTCTCAAAAAAAAAAAAAAAAAAAAAGGCCCTAGGGCAGATATTCTGAGACGCATCCAGAAATGAGTTTTCAGATAGCTCTGATGGTGGCTTTTATGAGTTTAAATGGTTTTCATCCTTTTTTATGTATTATGTGTAATAGTGAAAAGTACTTAGGTAAACCACTAAATATCATACTGTGAAAGATCTAAAACAACAAATGAAACATAATTAAAATATATTTTTCCTCAAAAGTCTATCTATGTAACTATAGTTTAGAATCAATACAAACTGCATAGTGTGGGCTTTCGAAGGTGTCTGAGTCCATGTCCTGGCTCTGTCATTTAACCAGCTCTGTGACCTGGAGCAAGTTACTTAACTGTCCATGACATTGGGTCATGGTGAAAATTTGTGAGATTCAAATATAAGGGATAATCCTTTTGGTTAGAAAGAAATACACCAATATTGTATATGGTAGTTCTATTTTTAGTTCTTTAAGAAATCGCCATTCTGTTTTCCAGAGAGGTTATGCTAATTTACATTCCCACCAATATATTTTGTTTTGGGGCATGGAACCATAGATGACTTTTAATGTTGCTGCTAGGGTTAAAGTTTAAAGTTTCTGCTTAGGTTAATTTCCTAAATGTTCTTTTACTTCATGTGTCACTTCCAAATGAAAAAAGAAGAAAGTGTTTGCTTCCTTCTCCCGCCCCAGTTCATTCTGGTAATAAATATATATAATAGGGCTTTATATAATAGGGCTCTATGAAAATTGTTTCTTTTGTTTTTGTTTTTGTTTTGACACAGAGTCTCACTCTGTTGCCCTGGCTAGAGTGCCGTGGCGTCAGCCTAGCTCACAGCAACCTCAAACTCCTGGGCTCAAGCAATCCTCCTGCCTCAGCTTCCCAAGTAGCTGGAACTACAGGCATGCACCACCATGCCCGGCTAATTTTTTCTACATATTTTTAGTTGCCCAATTCATTTCTTTCTATTTTTAGTAGAGACGCGGTCTCGCTCTTGCTCAGGCTGGTTTCGAACTCCTGACCTTGAGCGATCCTCCCGCCTGAGCCTCCCAGAGATCTCGGATTACAGGCGTGAGCCACTGCGCCCGGCCTCTATGAAAGTTTTGGTAACAGAATTCCATTTTGTGAGTAATCGGGTAGAACATATGAGTTGTTCGTTTGCCTATTTGCCCATCCACGCTAGAGCTATAGCACTAAGGGAAACAAAGATGCATATTGTGGGTTTCTGCTTCTGTGAGCTCATAGTCTGGTGGAAGGGGTAAGGACACAAACTTTTTAGAACAGAGCATGAAAGTGCTGAAATAAAAGCGCTATGAGAATGTGTCAGGGTAAGGACGCCTAACCTAGACTGAGTGAGAGCAAACAACGCGGAAAGGCTGAAGGCAGGCCAAGGAGCAGAGGATGGAGGGAGTTGGCCGGGGATGGTTTCTGGAGAGAGGGGCACCCAGCCAGAGAGGAAGCCAGAGCTGTGAGAATCTGGAAGCAGCTCTGTGCGGTGGGTTTTAGGGTAGCAGAAGATTCTCAGGGAAGAAGCCCAAGGAATAGTCAAGCACCTCAGGCAGGACATCTGATGGCATTTAAGCTTCACCTTAAGCATGACAAGGAACTTCCAAAGAGTCTCATAAGCAAGTCATGTTTCAAGTTCGCACTTCAGAAAACTCACTCCGGCTGCAGTGAGGATAACAACGGGCTGGAAGGGGCCAGAGGGGAGGTGGAGAAGCCATCGGGGAAGCTATGCTAAGAATCCAGAAAGGACGTGACGAGAGGGGACCAGGCTCATTTAGGGTGCTCAGTGTCACTGATCGTCAGAGAAATGCCAAATTAAAGCCACAGTGAGATATCATCATCATACTCAGTCAAGAACAGCTATGATTAAAAAAGACAACAACAACAAAAAAGAGTAGACATTGGCGAGAATAGGGAGAGAAAGGAACGCTTATATACATTGTTGGTGGGAATATAAATCAGTATAACCTCTATGGAAAACAGAATGGAGATTTCTCAAAGAACTAAAAAGAGGACTACCATAGAATCCAGCAATCCCACTACTGGGTATCTACTCAAGAGAAAAAAAAAAAAATCAACATGTCATGCCTGCACTCGTGTGTTCATTGCAGCACTTTCCACAAGAACAAAGATACAGACTCAACCTAAGTGCCCATAAACAAATGACTGGATAAAGGAAATGTGGTATATATGACGCTACTGAGCCATCCCGAAGAATGAGGTCAGGTCTTTTTCAGCAACATGGGTGGAACTGGAGATCATCATCTTAAGTGAAATAACCCAGATCCAGAAAGACAAATACCACGTGTTCTCGCTCGTGAATGGGTGAGGAACAACTCCTACCCTGTGGATAGAGATTGTGGAAGGATGGATAATGGAGCCCCGGAAGGGTGAGAAGGTGAGAGTTGGCGGATGCTGAGAAATTACTTAATGGGTGCAATGCATGTCATTCAGGCGATGACTGACTTGACCACTAACGCAATCTATGCAGGTTACAAAATTGCACAGATGCCTCATCAATGTATACAGATTAAAAAAAGAGAGAGAGAGCGAGAAAGGAAGAGATGCAGCCTGGTCTTGGGGGGCAACAGCAGAGACAGAGATTACAGAGGGATCCTCTTCAGGGAGAATCCGTCAGACTTGTGGTTGGACATGGTCAAGCAGTGGCTTTCAGCATTTTTTGACTTGACCCATAGGTCAGAAAGAAATACATTCCACACATGTGCTCTTTTCTACTTAATTTTTTAAAAACATGATGGCTACGACTCAGTATATTGATCTTACGAGCCACTGGTACAGAGATTCTAACCTAAACCCTGACTGTTCACAAAAAATTGCCTCCAGTGCTCTGAAAAAAATGCAATGTCTGTACCTCAGCCCCAGGGGTTCCAAATAAGGTCATATTCACAGGCCCTAGGGGTTAGGATCTCAACGTATCCTTTTTGGGGGGCACGAGTTAGCCCACAACAGGTGATGTCAGGATATCCACTGGCACCATAAGCACAAAGTTTAAGACCCGGTTGCTTTGCAAGGACATAGGAAAATGCCTGTGATCTGAAAAAAACAAAGTGATACTATATAAGCTCCGAGGTCCGAATAGAAAACTGCACATATGAATTAATAAATGTTGGATTAAATGTCTACAAAGTGTAATAAATCCATTTCACAAAGTGTAATACATCCATCTCATCAAGTGTTCATTTTTGTATGTTTACAAAATTATTTATATAATAATGTGTGGAATAGGTTTTTCTCACTTCTTAAGAATTCCCTACTGTGCAAGATATTAGGGAAAACTCAGGGGTTTCCTCTGCTCTTATACCACAACGATTAACACAGAAAACAAGATATGGGGGATTTCTCCCCACCAGCATGTAAGGAAGCAATTTTTTTGCAGCAGACACCAGCTCGGTGTGCTCTAACTCAATTCTGACACAATCTATCTGGAGATAACGTCTGATCCTGTGGGAGGAGAGCCAGTCCCCATGACTGCCCCCACCCCTCCCCACCTTCCGACACTAGTTGCCAGTCTGGGCCTCTAGAACTTCCGATCAGCGACTTCAAGTTGGGGTTCCCACGACCCCCTCGCTTTGGGTTTGGTTAATTTGCTGGAGCGGCTCACAGGACTCGGGGAAACACTGACTTACCTTTATACCAGTTTATTCCTGAGGATATTTGAAGGGTCACGAGGTCTGGAAGGCTCCTGAGCACAGAAGCTACTGTCCCTGTGGAGTTGGGGTGCGCCACCCTCCCGGGCACAAGGGTGAATTCTCGTTCACCTTCCTGCAATGCGTTCAGCTAGCTGGAAGCTCCCCAAACCCTATTGATTTGGGTCTTTTATGCAGACTTCTTTGGATAGGCATGATCGAAGCAGGGACAGATGTATTGAAATATGACTTCTTCCAGGGTGTGGGGCAGGACCCTCTCGGAATGAAGGCTTAACCAACCCACAGTCAGAAAGATTAAAGTTCTACCTCAAGCTGGGAGAAGCAGGGCAGCAGAAGGTCAGAATGAGAGATTTTGTTCTCTAAGACTAAATCTCCCCAACCTTATAACAAAAGATTGTGGGTTATTAGCTGAGCTAGGAATGAAAACCAACGTACACGTATATTATAACATTACACCTGAAGATTTACCAGACCATGGCCGGGCATGGTGGCTCACACCTGTAATCCTAGCTCTCTGGGAGGCCGAGGAGGGTGGATTGCTCAAGGTTAGGAGTTCGAAACCAGCCTGAGCAAGAGCGAGACCCCGTCTCTACTATAAACAGAAAGAAATTAATTGGCCAACTAACATATATAGAAAAAATTAGCCGGGCATAGTGGCGTGTACCTGTAGTCCCAGCTACTCGGGAGGCTGAGGCAGGAGGATTGCTTGAGCCCAGGAGTTTGAGGTTGCTGTGAGCTAGGCTGACACCATGCCACTCACTCTAGCCTGGGCAACAAAGTGTGACTCTGTCTCAAAAAAAAAAAAAAAAAAAAGATTTGCCAGAACCTTGAAATCAAAATGTCAAAAATCCTTTCAAATATCTTATAACAAAAAATAATATATTTTTTTGAGAAAGTAGAGTCTGGGGACATTTTAATATTTCCATGTAATAGGAAGGAGGACTTCAAGAATAGGGGTGCCAAGGCCCAGTGGGAATAACATTGGCCTTGAACTTCCCATCTCCGACACCTATAGCTGTAATCCACACATGCAAGGCTGAGGAGCTGATATCATGTGCAAAAATCTGTTTAGCATGGATGACCGCAGCTCTTCTGAAATCCAGGACCCAAACAAATTATTTGGACTGGGACCCATTACTGTGGGAAGAGGAATTATTTGAAAATATGCAAGGCAGATTGGCAAAGGGAAAAAGTGCCTAGCGTGACGTCCAAGGAAACGGGGCTCAAGGTTTCAAGGCCCCCGTCCCAGTGGAGTGGCACAAGATGTGCTTGTTTTCTCTAGCGATGAGTTGTGACCACACACGTGAAACGGTGTCTACTGGGGAAGTTCCTTAGAGACTCAGCAGCCAGGGATTTTTTGCAGGGGGCTGGTCACATAAGCACCCTCTCGCCTAACATCTGCCAAAATTCCAGGATCCCAGGAGAACGGCACAAATTGTATTGTTTTATAAATACTTTTGACACAGTGGGTCACTCTTAACAAGAATGGTGAGAATGCCCCAGAAATCTAAGTCCCCAGAGGCCAGCCGGGGGCCTGCTTTGCCGGTGGGTCATTCTAAGGACAGTGGTCTCAGCCTTGCAATGTTGACTGTTTCCCGTATACTCTCCTTTACCCTCCTGTGTCTGCTTCTGCCACTTGAAAAGCAATAAAACTACCTCCTGCATTTTTACAAGACTGTATCTATTGTCACCGCTCTAATTTAACTGAATGGCAGAGCTGATATTCCCTACCTGATGCTGCCAATAAAAATTCAATGGTGGTTGTTTTAAATATATCAGAAAATGCATTTCCTTCTATAGGTCCTTTCTGACCCTTACATTTCCTGCACATAATTAATCTCAGTATTTGATCCTATAAAAACTGAACTTTGCCAGGTGCGGTGGCTCACGCCTGTAATCCTAGCACTTTGGGAGGCCAAGCGGGTAGACGGCTCAATGTCAGGAGTTCAAAAGCAGCCTGAGCAAGAGCGAGACCCCATATCTACTAAAAATAGAAAGAAATTAATTGGCCAACTAAAAATATATAGAAAAAAATAGCCAGGCATGGTGGCACATGCCTGTAGTCCCAGCTACTTGGGAGGCTGAGGCAGGAGGATCGCTTGAGTCCAGGAGTTGGAGGTTGCTGTGAGCTAGGCAGATGCCACAGCACTCTAGCCCAGGCAACAGAGTAAGACTCTGTCTCAAAAAAAAAAAAAAAAGAAAGAAAGAAAATAAAATACAGCAGTAGGCGAACCACTGGCTACTAATGGTTTCAAAAGAGGCTATGGTTGCCCCCACGCTTAATGGTTATTCTACCACAATTAAAATGGTCAGAAAGAGCAGGACCAAGAAAGGTACAACTTTAATGTATCTGCAGCCATATGTTAGAACAGGACAAGATGAGTAGTAGATACTAAGTTTCATGGTCTTCATGCTATAAAACATTAAATTGAAGACTGCACTTTGTGAATTACTTTGTAAAATGACAAACATTTACATGATATAGAAAGAAACAATGAATTCTTAAAATATAATGGACAAGTGATACAAAGAAGCAAGCCTAGTAAGCATAAATTTTCACTTTGTGGACTTCCTTGTCATCACATTCTCTCTGTTTGTTGTAGTAATAGAAAGTATTGTCCCTTCTCTGAAGTTTCTTCACATATCCTGTCTCTGGCCAACGATCTACCTGCACATCAAAAACCAGATACAGATATTGTAATGCCGGTTCTACTTTGATCTCATATTTTACTATCAAATACTTAAAAGTACAGTTCACACCACAGTTTTTTTTAAATGCTTGAGCTCTTAGAGTATGACACACACACAAAACGTATCTTGAAGTTGCATCCTTACACAGCAGAAAAACTAATTCAGTGCTTTTCCTTAGAGCCCAGTTTCTAGATCTAAATTTCTACCCTGCGGACAAGATAGAGAAAACAGTAAAAATAACTTAACCTTCATTCTTTTCATGTTTATAAATAATTTCAAACATTATAACTTCTAAAAAAAAATATGACTAGGCCTGGGCCTCATTCTGAAGGCTCTGCCTGCTGGTTGTTGATACTACAGTAATTGCAGGAAATAATTAGACTTGAGAAGTATCTCAAGGCATTTCCTTCTGCCTAAATTTCAAGTTCACCTTAAAGTTCAATTTGTAACAGGAATTTGAGGTCACGAAAATAGCTCTCAACAATCTTGTCCTACTACTTTCACCTTTTTATGTGCCATGTTGGCTTGTTTATCATTAGGCTTGACCTACTTTGGACACTTGCCTCTCTCCTTCCTCTCCAAATTCAGTGTCATGCCTTCTTGATCAGGTGAACTCATTTTTGTTGTTGTTAAATATGTTCCTTCTGGATTTTGTGAGATGCACTTTATCATTATCCAGGTTTTAGAAAAATCAGATCCTGTCCTTCAATACCTTCTATACAGGCAGTTCTGCACTTTTGATATTCCTCACTTACAAATCTCAGCTTTCGATAGGGAGAAAAGATGAATATATCATCTGGGTCTCCCTGTCTTTTATTTTCTAATGCATTTCCTTTTTTCCATTGTCTCGTTTATTTATGGATTAGTAAAAACAGGTGCGCAGCCTATCTGATAAACCTTGGCAGGCCCTTTGCCATATACGTTACAGAAAATAAGCAGCCCCTTCTATCACTAATGTCCTGCCTGCCTGTGTGGCCTTCATGACCCTCAAGGAGATGTTCTCAAGGCTCCATTATAGCCCTTGGAGCCATGAGCTCTTTTATTTAATAGGGTCCTGAGAACCATCTCAGTGAAGAAACAGTACAATCGCTGCCTCCTCAGGACATCTGGAGCTACTTTTTATGAGATGATCCTTCAATCAGCTAGACAGGTCCTGTACTTAGTGACTTCTGGATATTTGTCCTTTTCATACCCCTTACCATCTCTGAATGTTTTCTTCTTCTTCGCTTTTTTTTTTTTTTTTTGAGACAGAGTCTCACTTTGTTGCCCAGGCTAGAGTGAGTGCCGTGGCGTCAGCCTAGCTCACAGCAACCTCAAACTCCTGGGCTCGAGTGATCCTTCTGCCTCAGCCTCCCGAGTAGCTGGGACTACAGGCATGCGCCACCATGCCCAGCTAATCAATTAATTTCTTTCTATTTATAGTAGAGACAGGGTCTCGCTCAGGCTGGTTTTGAACTCCTGACCTTGAGCAATCCGCCTGCCTCGGCCTCCCAAGAGCTAGGATTACAGGCGTGAGCCACAGCGCCGGGCCTCTTCTTCGCTTTTAATTTGATCATTCCCATTTGATCTAGGAAACCTTCATGCCTAAGGTGAAATGGAATGATAACAATCTTCAAGTCCAATTACCTGCTCCTTAGGCAGGGAGGTCAGCAAGTACTAATAGCACCATAAACATGTGTGCTTCTTAAAGAAAAAAGAACTTTGCTCAAACCCTCAGGCCACTGCACACTGGTGGAGACGTCCCAACCAAAGCAAGACTTCAGTTACTGTCTTATCCACCCTGGAAGGGCCCCTGGCAAGTGCCACTGGGGCAATGAAGCCTTTTCTGGGCAATGTCCCCAGAAGGAAGTGATTTTGTTTTCCTTTAAGTTCCTGTGCTGCTTTTACTTAAGGCACATATACTTTGTCTTGCATATGGTTTTATTATTCTTGTTACTTTTCTTCAACTCCAAGATAATGAGGTTACTAGAACTGTCGTTCATGGAACACTTACTGCTCGTTCACTCAACAAATTAGTATTGAGTGTTCCAATGCCAGGCACTTCAAGCACATGAGTTCATTTCATTCCTGTGACAGTTTTCTGAAGCAGGCACTGCCACCACTATTTTCCAGTTGAGGCAATGGAGGCTCAGTGAAGTTAAGAGCCTTGTTCAGGATCCCCCAGCTGTTGAGAGGTAGAGCCAGGATGCAAACCCTGAACTGACCAACTCCAAGGCCTGTCCTCTTCCCACTGGCTTACGGGGTTTTTTGGGGTCAGGTCCTCTCTCACCTCTACTTTTGGCTCCTAAAGCACTTGCTATAGAAATTTGCACATGGTAGGTATCCAATAAACATATACTGAGTTGAAACGGAAACTTCTTTATAATTGCCAAGTCATAAAATAAATAGAGCCATTCTTTCTTCCATTACACACAGACACACACACACACACACACACACACACACACACACGCACACGCATGCATGCACGCTTCTCAGTTGCTTTTTGGGACTTCCCATTTAAGGATGTACTTTGTGTTCTCTTAAATCTGGTTTTGCCTCAATAACATCATTGGGCGTGAGGGTGTAGGGGCAAGAGAGAAAAGAACACACAGTGTGTTGTGTTTCACACTGCCTAAGATGATTCTGGGCCTTGTATATCTTTAAGGGCATGGCAATTTCAAGGCAAGGTATGAAGCTTATTTTTGAATAGCATCAAATGATAATTATTATGTAGTCTCTATTTAAAAGGCACAGATGGTAGAGTCATGAAAACTATGTCTCTATTATCTCAGGAAAGCCAGAAATGTACAACCAAAGTCAGGAGTTGTTCTCTAACACTTTTTTTTTGTCACATATAATCTCCATAAAAACATATTATTTAACCCCTTTAATTCATGGTTAAAAGAGGTTAACCATGAATTTATTTTTTGTATATATAAATTATATATATAACTTCCCATAATGGAGGGAAATTATAGTTACACAAAAACCAAATATCTGATAATAGAATTGTCTGAATGAGGGTAAAAGATTGTGCTTTGTAATCTACCATAAAAGATTCATTTAGCAGAGCACAGTGGCTCAATAAAAGTTAGAAAATTCCGAATGTCCCCAGCTGAGGGATCACCTCTCCCCCCAAGTCTGCCTAGAAAATCACTATTCTGGGCCTTGGTCGCCTTATCAATACCATGAGGGAGTTTGTACAGGAATAAATCTTACCATAGATACTTGTTTCACTTGTTTATATTCAATTTCATCCCGATATCCTGCTTGTTGAAATCTGTACAGATTTTCTATCTCTTCTGACCATTTTTTGGCACGACTTATTGATTTTGGTTTCACATCAGAACTAGCCATGGCTACAGAGGCCTTATTACCAACAATTTCTGAAAGATGTTAAAACAACATTAATAGGTATCATAATGACAATTTTGAAAGTTCCTTTATGAATGAACAAAACTAACACTTAAAAGTTACACATAGAGTTGAGAATCCTATTAAACATATTTAGTTTATAACATTCAGTTCCTAGACTGAGAAGGATTCATGCTTTATTCTAGGGGGAAAACTCTAAAACAACTACTACAACAACAAAAAACCCTTGAAAGATACATGGAGAACTGTTTATATCTTTATCAAATAAAACTGCATTCGGAGTGATATCCTAAATGCTGTATACAAATTCTGGTGTTCCAGGCAATGGTTTGCACATTTCTGAAAACATACTCTTATTTGTAACTGCTTAGTAGATTGTTAAAATATCCCACCACCATTCCATTTAATTATATTCAAAATTGGCTCTTTTTTTTTTTTTCTTAAAAAAGGAATTTACGAGGCCGGGCGCTGTGGCTCACGCCTGTAATCCTAGCTCTTGGGAGGCCGAGGCGGGCGGATTGCTCAAGGTCAGGAGTTCCAAACCAGCCTGAGCAAGAGCGAGACCCCGTCTCTACTATAAATAGAAAGAAATTAATTGGCCAACTGATATATATATAAAAAAATTAGCCGGGCATGGTGGCGCATGCCTGTAGTCCCAGCTACCCGGGAGGCTGAGGCAGAAGGATCACTCGAGCCCAGGAGTTTGAGGTTGCTGTGAGCTAGGCTGACGCCACGGCACTCACTCTAGCCTGGGCAACAAAGTGAGACTCTGTCTCAAAAAAAAAAAAAAAAAAAAAAGGAATTTACGATCAGTCTTATCTTCTTCCCTTCTTTGTTGCTGGGAAGCAATGGTCTCTCCTTTTTCTTAATTGCTTGGAAACATCCCAATCACTGCAATTCATTTACTCAGGTCACACAATCCCAGTGTGATAAGACAGACTGACACAAAGTTCATGTAAGCTGTAATGGCTGTCATGAGGCCGAGATCATTGATTTTGAAACAGTATAGAAGGGTGACTGATGGTCTTGGAAATTCACATATTCAACCTGAGTTCATATAACTGTCTATTCACCAAAATTCTTTTTTCTTTTGCTTTCTTTTTTTTGAGACAGAGTCTTGCTCTCTTACCTGAGCTAGAGTGCCATGATGTCAGCCTAGCTCACAGCAACCTCAAACTCCTGGGCTCAAGCAATCCTTCTGCCTCAACCTCCTGAGTAGCTGGGACTACAGGCATGTGCCACCATGCCCAGCTAATTTTTTCTACATAGATTTTTAGTTGTCTGGCTAATTTCTTTCTATTTTTTAGTAGAGACAGGGTCTCACTCTTGCTTAGGGTGGTCTCAAATTCCTGAGCTAAAACGATCCTCCCGCCTCAGCCTCCCAGAGTGCTAGAATTATAGGCGTGAGCCACTACGCCTGGCCAATTCACCAAAGTTCTGTGGCCACTTTTTCAAAGTCATAATTTTGTGCTTGTTTTTGCAACCACTTCTTATTTATTACCAAAATATATCCAGTCATTTAATGGAATAAAGTGCCTAGAATTGTCACCATGATTCCTTGATCTGCTCTTCCATTAAAATATTTCTAATGGATGAAATATGTTAAAGTCAGATCCTGTAAATGAATTAAGAGTCTTTGAATTTTTTCAATCACAATGACAAATGCTTGTACGTTAACTAGGTCAAGAAATACACCGAAGTACAAAAAGGAAACGCCCAAATAATTGTCAAATCAGTTAGAAATATCCATCCTTCACTTTGAGTGAACATCATCCTAAACACATGATGAATTAAGATAGACGTTAAAAGTTTTATAAAAAGGAGTCATATAGCAAATGCTTTTACAAGAGTAATAAATTTAGCTTTATCTGGATTTAACAGGAATAAAAATAGGACATGGAAAGAAAATTGACATACTTGCTGAATTTCAGATGAATGTTTCTTCAATATGAAAGATGTAGCCTAAAATTTACCTCAGTGGTTAATAGAAAACAATAATGAAGACAGTTGGGGAAGCCAAGGGTCTTTGTTTTAACTCTATGTTATCAATCTGACACACACGTGTACTGATTGACTCTTTTCTATGAAAAATAAGAAAAATGGTCTAATGTTCCTTCTATTTCCTCTAGATTTTTAAAAAATTATTCAATATTCTAAAGATTATAGTATTTATATTCTATTCTGAAACCATAATCCCCCCAAGTTGTTTGGACTCAGCTCCAGATTTAAATGAATTTAAATGAAGTCACCTGAGTCACATAGTTCTTACCCTGATGAGAGGAGCTACTACTTGACCAAAAATACCCATCATGCCTTAGTGAAATCCTTATCTTTTAATTCCATTCATTGTAATAGGAAGTTCACTACTTCACTCATGCACAATATACTAGTGATATACTAGCTATGACCAACAAGTAAGTTGAGTATATATGGTACAGCAAAAAATATGCTGTATTCAGTTGGACTTCTGGGAAAATGACTATTTTTCTCAGAAGAAATAGACATCTTCTCGTTATTATCAGGCATTTCAAAATTTTGTTTTCCCAAAATATTTAAAGGTAACATGAATGTAATTTTCACCATAACAGCAACCCTAGTGGCTACTAGAGCTAGTTGTGGTGTAAATTCCATTTTTTGGTCTTTCTTACTTTCAGTTTATTAAAAACACAAAATGAAACTAAAATTTGGGAAGATCAACTTATAATTCCTTGATTAAATGTTTCAGTGATTCTAGGAAATTCGGTGGCAGTACTAATTCTGCCAGTAACCTTCAGCACTTTCAAACTGAGGGGTTTCTTTAAACATTGTAGAAAAAAAAAAGGAATTGATAAAAAAATAAATTTGATCTCTGTAATACCGAGTTGTATCTTCACAAACAAGAAATGGCAGTGCCTGAGTTTCTAGTCTGCAAAAACTGAATTTTATTAAACACTTAATTATTAAGAGTTTAGATGGGAACATATGGTCCCTGACTTACAATGGTTCCACTTAAGATTTTTCAACTTGACCAAGGTGTTAAAGTGATACTGCATTCAGTAGATACTGCACTTTGAGTACCCATATAACCTATTTTGTTTGTCACTTTCAGTGCAGTATTCACTATTACATTAGATATTCAACACTGCATTATAAAATAGGCTTTGTGTTAGATGCTGTGCCCAACAGTAGGCTAATGTAAGTGTTCTGAGCACGTTCAAGGTAGGTTGGGCTATGCTAAGCGGTTCTGTAGGTTGTTAAATGCATTTTCATCTTAGTATTTTCAACTTACCACGGATTTATTGGGACAGAACCCCATCCTAAGTACAGGCTTGTCTGTATTTTAACCCCACCAATCTCAAATCCTTGACAATCTAAAGATATCACTAAAAAGCCTTTGATGTAGCCAGCCACCCCAAATTCCCTTCTATGCAAAACGTTTTCACCTCAGTTGGCTCCTTACTTTTAGTGCCATTAAAACCCCCACAGCATTCGTCCCCGTCATCTTCCATGTCTTTCCCCATTGTATTATTACTATTTCTGTTCCTAAGAAGCAGTAGGATCTGGTGGAGGAGCCCTGTTAACTAGCACATAACCGGGGCCAACACCAGGAACATTCTTGGGCCTGTTACCTGCACTCTAAAAGGTGAAGCATTAGACGGTTTCTAAAGTCCCTTAACTCCCCATCCCCAACTTGCTGGGTGTTCAGTGGAAACAAAAAGCGGTTGCCCAAACACGCCTTGGTGGGTCCAGGTGTGCTAATCTGCATTTGTGCGGCACAAACACACGCCTTTGCCGTCGCCGACTGCTAACATGCCTCGAATTTTCTTTCCGCGTGAAATCGCCAAACGTGTTTTTGATGTGAAACCTGCCCAGAGAAGGCTGGGATGGGAAAAGTACAGTATTCTAAGAACTAGGGATCAAATGAGTGAGCCCTCAGAGTCGCGGCCCCTAAAGCTCACCGGGGCGCGGGGCAGCCCGGGAACTTCTGGGAGAATCAGAATCCGAAACTCAAGAGGGGCCACAGAAAGCCCCTCAGTCCTGGAAATGAGGGAGGAAACGTGAAAACTCAGAGGTATGCAGGGCGGATCTCTGCAGGCCCTGCAGGGACGGCGGGGCGGAAGAGGCGGAGCCCGCGCTTCCGGGGCGGGGCCCAGGCGGGCGCAGGGGCGGGACGGGGAGGTCCCGGCCCTCAGCGGCGCATCCACCCACCGCTGGGTTCGTCTGTCGGTGGTTATCCTCGCTCGGCCGAGCAGGAGAGGTCGGGGGCCCCCCGCCCGGAAGCGCGCAGGGAGACGCGGCGAGGCTTGTGTTCAACACTCGAGATCCGTGGGGCGAGAGAGAAGCCAACTGTCGCGGCCTCTGTGACCTTCGCGTCTCCTAGCAACGCGGCGGCGCGGCTCACTCCGGCCCCGCCCAGCTCGGGCAGGCTCCGCCTCTAGGAGGGCCGTTGTGCGCATGCGCGAGGGTTTGAGCCGTTGGCAAGCATAATTTCTGAAGCCAGAGAGGACCCCAGGCCGGAACTTTGGGACGGGTTACCAGTAGTAAAGTGGGAAATGATTATTTGCTGTTTCTTGAATCCCAGACCAAATTCCCTAAGAAAGTGGAATGGAGAACGGAGACTACTGGTGTTTCTAGTTCCTAATAGATCTCTTCTGTCTGTCCATTTTGTAGGAATTAAATAAACTGTAGGCTGACAGTAACCCTAAATATAAATATCTGTAGCTTTAATTATTGTTCTAACATTACCTTCATTATTATATTAGAAGTAAGCAGCCACTTTGGTGAAAAGTGACCAAATTCAAGGTACATATTTTGAACGGAGAGCCATCAGGATTTGCTAATAAATTGGAGAGTGAGAGACAGTGACATGCCGGAGCCAACTCATTAGAGCTTGAGAGAATCAATAGTTAAACTTTTAGGAATTTTTTCTGAGCCCGTTGTTAAACAAACACAAGCCACATTACAAATTAAATTATAGAAAGTTTTAATTAAAAGTCATATTAAAACATTTTTAGAAATAAATACTAAAAACTAAAATAAAAACTCTTTACTTACAACTTGTCAATTTATTTCCCCAGCTGGGATCTTTCTCTCTGAAGGTTAGACTTGTATTTTATTTTTTAAGAGACAGAGTCTCACTTTGTTGCCCAGGCTAGAGTGAGTGCCGTGGTGCCAGCCTAGCTCACAGCAACCTCAAACTCCTGGGCTCAAGCGATCCTCCTGCCTCAGCCTCCCAAGTAGCTGGGACTACAGGCATACACCACCATGCCCAGCTAATTTTTTATATGTATATTTTTAGTTGGTCAATTAATTTCTATTTTTAGTAGAGACAGGTCTTGGCTGGTTTCGAACTCCTGACCTCGAGCGATCCGCCCGCCTCGGCCTCCCAGAGTGCTAGGATTACAGGCGTGAGCCACCGCGCCCGGCCAAGGTTAGACTTGTATATATCCAGCATATACTCAACTTGATTGTCCCAAATGACCTTCTCAAACACTTTTCCTGCTCCTTCCCCAAGTCAAGGAGGATTTCTCTAGGGACTCAGAATCCTGAAAATTGGACTTTTTAGGAAAAACTTATTTTTATCTTAAGCATGCCAGAAAGCTAGTAAGTGATTGTGTGTTTCTCTTTGCTCTGGCTTCCAGAAGAACCGAATGCATGGCCCATTACTCTCCCAAGAGTAAACGTGTGCATGTCTCTGGGCTATGCTGACTTATCTCCACTGTTTTCCATCCCGTCTTTCCTTTTGTCCTGATTATCTATTTCTCTTCATTTGTTTATCCTATATCCATTGTGGAAAGAAGAGGAGGTGACAAGTGAGCAAATAAGAATAAGAGCAATCATGTCCTGCCCTTCCTGGAACCCAAATTTTGAGACTCTCTATATTCAGACTCACAGACTTCTGGTGTTAGGTCTTCATAATCTCACCCCAGTGATAATTCCCCTCTATTCTAAGTCAAACCATCTTTCACCAAATCATAGGTCTTACCACTAGTATACTAGCAGAATATTTTACTGGAATTAGTGATTATGATGTCTTGGACTACAGGCATGTGCTTCCACATCCGGCTAATTGTTCTATTTTATTTTGTAGAGACGGGGTCTGGCTCTTGCTCAGGCTGGTCTCGAACTCCTGGCCTCAAGTGATCCTCCTGCCTCAGCCCCCACAAAGAGCTGGGATTTTGCCTGGCTGACTGTGGTGTCTACACCTCTCCACCCCACTGCCCCACCTCCACAAAAGATAAATAATAAAGTGTTCCTGATTATTTGTAGTAGGTCAGAATAAATGCCATTGTGGTGACTTGGGAAACCTTAATACAGTACTTTAACCAATGTTTTCATAAACTTACTTTGGTGGTTAAAAAATTCTAGACCTTTCTTGTGCAGTGCAGTGGTATCCTAATCAAATCCCATCTACTATTGAGGCTGAAACGGGAGGTTGCCTTAAGCCCAAGGGTTGGATACCAGCTTGAGCAACATAGCTAGACTCCATTTCAAAAAAAGAAAAGAAAAAAGAACAAAAAATCAAATCCTTTCTCCCACCATTCATTTTCTTTCTTATATACACCCCTCTAACTTCCTAAAATTATAGCTCAAAATGTCAGAGGGAGAGGCTAACAGCTAAGATATTGTTGGGATCCTTGTTTGCCCAAAGATCACAGATGTGAGGTGTGATCATCATGGGACCGTCAGAGACGGCTATGCGCTCACTTTGTAGACTCTATAAATGGAAGAGGTGTCACCAGCATAAAGGTTCTTGCTAACATCCCAGAAAGGAATTTCAGGATTTCAAGTAATACTGGCAACTTTATTGAATGAAAGAGACAAGATTAGGAAAGGCTTGTGCAGACGTGAAAGTATGCTTTCTAGAAAGGAAGTGGGCAGGCTCAGACTGAATCCCAAGGGGTTGCTGTTCTTATCTGTTGAGGTCAAAGATGGCTGGGCTGCTAGCGTTTACTGTGTTCTCCTCCTATACAGTGGCGGAAAGGTCATTTTGTACTTGTGCAAAGCTGGAAAACCAATGGCTCTTTTTTTCTCCTCAAATCCATTCAAGGGCTGGTTGCTCCAGCTACTTGGCTAACTTTTTTTTTTTTTTTTTTTTTGAGACAGAGTCTCACTCTCTTGCCTGGGCTAGAGTGCTGTGGCATCAGTCTAGCTCACAGCAACCTCAAACTCCTGGGGTCAAGTGATCCTCCTGCCTCAGCCTCCCAGGTAGCTGAGACTACAGGCACACGCCACCGTGCCTGGCTAATTTTTTCTGTTTTTAGTTGTTTGGCTAATTTCATTTATAGTAGAGACGGGGTCTCGCTCTTGCTCAGGCTGGTACTTGGCTAACTTTTGTTTGTTCCTTACAAGCCCATACCTGCCTGATGAGCATTCCAGAGCATTCCTACTCTGACATTCCCTCCTTAGGAGATCTGTGCCCTGGGTATCTTACAAGAGTGTACGGATGGAGGTCATGTTTTCTGTAACAGTTTCAAGCTGGCAGAGAGTGTCCTAGTCATAGGCCCAGGAGTTCTTGGTCTATGTCAAGGGAGTTAGAGGGAAAATGAAGCACTATAGGGCAAAGACAGTTTGATCCCCAGTTTAATTCACAATGAGGTGAAACTGACCCCTGCCATCCATGATGTCCTAGATATCTGTCAGGACATAGATTCCAAGTGAGCAGGAATTTGAGATCAGAAAGGGGCCACTGCAGAAGATGAAGGGAAGTTAAACACAAGTTGATATTGTTACAGATTGAGAATAGACTGCACTGAATCATATAAAGGCTTGGTGATAAGTCCACACCTGGGTAACCAAATCTGGCAAAACTCTGCCATGTCCAAATGTCCTAAGTTGCTGCTTTTTCTGTGGTGGTCTATGTGTAAGAGGGCTTCCTCCGCTGGCCTGGATTCTAGATGTGGCCTAGATAGGTTACTGTCTGCTGTGAAACCTGGGCCTTGGCAGGAGAGAGTTTATACCCTGTTTCTCTCCAGAAATTCAAAACTTGGATGGTGTTTCTATTTGAGTCTTCTAAGGTTGGGCTGCACAGGAGTCTATATGCACATATTGTAAGAGGGCTCTGGTGGTTTAAAATGAGCTTTCATAAATCTTTGGCAACTATATTGCCGAAAATGCGTGGGCTATATCTACAGCCATGTGGCAATACTGTCCCTGTGTAGTGTCATGCAGAGGGCAAAGGAGTTCTTCTGAAAGTTTATCTGGCAACGTTGGGTAACCTGGCAGTGGGCTGGTAAGCTGGGGAAATGTCAGAGGAGTCTCCAAGTTAGGTTTAGGGGCCACTGCAGTTCGGTGGGTCTCAGAATACAAAACTAAAGCTGGGGGGGGGGAGGGGGCGTTAGAGGTGGTGAGCTCCGCCCACCAGGTTGACATTTCTCAAGGCAAGAACTGCACTTATCAAAGCCCTCTGGGTGCCATAAAGTCTTGGATGTATGGGACTTCAGTCCACTTGCTTTCCTATCTACAAAAAAAGATCTATCTGAAGGACCATATTAACCCTTTGCACTCGGATGTTGAGTGTGACTCGACACGGTTAGCAAAAATTATAGAGATTAAAATTACTCTTTGAATGTATCAATAATTTGAAATGTAAAAAAATCCAAATAAATAAGTTTGTATGAAAAGAAACTCCAGTTGTTTATTCTACTGCTGCGCTTTGTAAAATCTGGGGTATTTAAAAAATTAAATCCCGAGTAGAATAAAGGAATTGAGAAAACAAGTGAGTGCAAAGGGTTAACCCTTTGTACTCGGATGTCGAGTGTGGATAATGTCCAGTGGATAATGAGAAGCGAGTGCAAAGGGTTAAAGTTCAAGCTGCCATTTATTGGCCAGACCTCCTCATCACCTAACATATTGGGACCAGACAGCATTACACAGAGACACAAGTTTCTTCTTCCTTATACTGTCTAATTTGAAAAGAGTCCCAATTCCAGAGAATACAGATGAGAGTGGTTGGGGACGAAGAGAGTATTACCCAGATTTTCTTGGTTCCAAGGCCAAAATCTGGAAATGGCACAGGGACTTCTAACCTCTGTGAAATTTTACCTTGTCAGGAAAAAGTGGAGGGCACGGGTGTCCCGGACATCTCCCTGCCTGTCCTGCAGAGTCTGGGCATTCCAGATTCTCACCCTGGCGGTTACAGCCCCAGGGGAGGTTCACAATCCTGCCCTGCGTTCTGTGAACCTGGGGGTGAGAAGTTGTCCAGGGAATTTTGTTCACAAGGGCCTTTGACTCCTGTGATGTAAAGAGATATGGGCCATGTCCAATGATCAGTGGTCCAGTGCTGGGATGTATGGTTCTAAAGCTGGTGTCTCCCAGGTTTGGAGACCTCCTGAGATCCCACCCTTCTCTGTTCCAGATTTAATGAAGTGCTTTTAGCCCTGACACCAAGGTTACAGTGCATGGGGCTTTTCGTGCCTGGAATGCTTTTCTCCTCTTTCAGTGTAAAGTTGGCTTGAATCAGGTTTTGCCTCCAAATGCTTAATTCCTAGGAGGAGTCTCATGTCCTAGAGCACTTCCACTGTATGCCAGACTAAACAGCATCAAAGTCCAAGCTCCTGTTCCTCGACATTGCCACATCTCTGCTGGTAATTCCTCCCCCGAAATGGACAAACACAACCACCAGAAAGCCGATACAAGAGCAAGCCTGCCTAGCAAAGTGACTGATTAAATCACAAACATTTTTCCCCCCACACTTAATAAAGCACGTTTTTTTGCTTCTAAAACAGCTTTATTTGAGATCCTTAAAAGAGGAAGAATAGAGACGATTCACCTGCTAATTCTTGAGCAAAATCAAGACTCATTTTTGAGATAAAGGAAATCTGAGCAAAAAAGACAGACTGAATGAGACCCTGGTAAGCCTACACTTCACACTGATGCCTTGATCACAATCCCAGCCTCAGCCCAGGGCCTGGGATTCAGACAGACCCGGCTCAGCTCCAAGCTGAGCTACGTGGCTACACAGCTCGAGCACAGCTCATGGGACACGATCACAATAACCTTTATGTATAAAGAAGCACTTTGAAATAAGAGTGGTATCTAGCAGCTGAGACTACGCACAGGGTAGCCATAGAGAGTGAACCATGGGTTCCTGCGTGGGGAAGTCCCCTGCCAGCTCCCTAGGCTGGTGTCACCCAGTGTCTGGCATCCGCTTGCATCTACACGGCCTGAGGAGTGACCCTCTGCCACCCCGGTTAGGGGGAGCCGCGGTCGGCCAGATGCAGCAGCTTATGCACCTGTGACTCACCGGAAAGCAAAAGAAGAAAAATCCTCCGATCCAGTCTCCAGGGTGAGGACAGCAATACTCACCAGAAATCACTCGGGATGGAACAGTCTCCGGCCTGGCTCGCCATGAAGATGTCACCGGCGTAAAGGCTCTTGCTAAAGTCGCAGAAAGGAATTTCAGGACGCGCACACACCCGAGCTACAGCGGCAGTTTATTGAGTGAAAGCGGCCAGGGTTAGCAAAGGCTTGTGCAGAAGCGAAAGGTGGAAAAGAGCGACCACCCCGACACCCAAGCGGCTGCTGTCCCAAGGCGGCTGGACGGCCAGTGTCGTTCTGTTCCCACTCCCACGTAACGGAGGGGAGGCCACTTGGTACCAGGGCACCCCGGGGAGGTCAGTGGCTCTCTCCTTCTCAAGCCTGTCTGTTCAGGGGCGGTTTGTTCCAGCCGGTGGGCTAGCCTTTCCGGTTCCTCCTCCCTTGCAGACACCGAAGTGACTACTTACTCTGACCTAGAGAGCTAATAGTTACTGCATCTACCACGAGTCGGATACGTTTTCTCATGCGACCCTCCGGGTCACCCCGAACCGTGGGGAAGAGAAGGGAAAGGGCCCGAGCTCCCAGGCGGCAGCAGACAAGGAAGGAGGAAGCGCAGAATGACCGCAAACAAAGCGCGCCCGGCAGCCCACTCGCCTCCTTGGGTGGGAACTGCCTTTGGTGTTTGTTTCCCTTCGCGCAACTCTAACTGCACCGACACCAGCAGCTCTTCCCCAGAGCAACACCTGCGCTGGGATTGCCGCTTTCCGGTGGGAACCCGAGCGGCGCGGCCGCCGCATTTCAACCCGAGGGCGCGCGCGGACCGAGCCCGCCCAGAAGCGCCTGGCTCCGCCCCCGGCCTCCTCTGATTGGACGTGGCTGCGCTCGGCCGGCCAATGGCGAGGCGGCGCGCAGATTCCCGGAAGTGGCGGCGCAGGACCGGCTTCGCAACCTGCTTGCGGTCCGGCGCGCCCGGGGTCGCGGCGCTATGAGTTCCTTCGAGGGGCAGATGGCCGAGTATCCAACCATTTCCATAGACCGCTTTGACAGGGAGAACCTGAAGGCCCGCGCGTACTTCCTGTCCCACTGCCACAAGGGTGAGTGAGCGCTGCGTGCCGCCCACTCCCGGGGCGTAGGGGGTTGGAGGGAGAGGACGGGAGGGACAGGCCCCGGGGCAGGGGGTGCGGCTGTGGGAGGGTTGTGCCAGTCGGGCCCCTCAGCCCTGGAAGGGTTTATAGAGTTTGGGATCTGTCCAACCTGGCGCAGTGGCGACTGGCGCTTGCGCACCGACCCGGACCAGCCCGGGCAGGCACCGCTAGCGGGTTCTCCCGGTAGCTCTTCCAGTGGCCGACAGTCAGGAGGTGGCGGGGATTCGCTAGCTGTCCCCCATGGCCTCGCTACCAGATATAAATAACACAAGTTTCAGATCAGTTTCGGCCACACCCTCAAACATTTGCTGGCAAGCGGGCAGGCTCAGACCACGCTGTCGGGTCGCACAGCCCGCCTGTGAGCTCGGGCAGGCGCTCGCTCCCTCTCCTTGGCATAGTCTGTCCACGTCAGATACGAAAGGTTCGTTCTTTCTAGCCTTGGACGCCAGGACATTGATCTAGTAGATGGCGTTAGGCAACCAGAATACGATTTCCCAGCTGGACTCCTTTGGGGATTTAGGGTTAGAGAGTCAGTCTTAATGATACAGGTTCGAGGCTAGATGCTCCAGGTGAGATCAGATAATTACCAGAATGTAAATGCTGCCACTTTCATAGCCATTGTCCAATTATAACATCTATCATGCTGAGGAATACATCCCTAACCTTACCAATGAAAGGTAAAGGTTCACTGTGCTAATTAGCACAGCTGTTGGCACTGATGGGAGATAAAGTAGCTGCCTCTTGCAGCTGTGGCCTTGCAAGTAGCTTTAGTAGGACTTTCCGAGTAAAAAACTGAGCGAGTCAGTGTACACAAATGTTTAAAGCACTGGTGCAGAGGATTGTCAAGAAAATTATGCGTATGAAAACGCTGCCTTTCCTCCCAGGGTTGGTGTGATGGCCACCTAATGGTCTTGTGTGTGGAATCAGTCCCACTTGGTGTAAACAGTTGAAGATACTGCTTCTGGGAAATGCTTCTGGTTTTGTTTTTTTGAAGCTCAAAGCCACCATGATTTCTCTTCAGTGAGGAAAATCTGAACCTCCTCTCGAATTACCAAATAGCACTGTGAACCTCTTGAAGCTCTTTTTGTTTATTTTTGAGAGTAACGTTTTCAGTTTTGTTTTCCATTGAGAGTCTCCTGCTGGACAAGGGTGCCCCTGTTTTTACTTTGTGTGTTGAGTCTCGCTGGAATTTCTGAAACGTGGTAGCCATGATGAAAGTATGATGTAGAATCTTGCCCATCGTGTTTAGGAGTAGCGAGTTTGGAGAAATAATTCATCTGAAGGAATCTGTGGAATCATCAGTTTGAACATTAAGCAAGAAATGGACTCTCTTTACTATTGAGCCGCTATAACTTTTGCCATTCTCTAATCACGTGGCTCTTGTTACTCAACCAAGACGTAAGTTCATCAAGGGTGAAAACTCAGCTTCTGCTTTTGGAAGTTTCCTACGTTGCTTTTTTTTTTTTTTTAACCTTTTAGGGCCACAAACTTCTTTGACTGTGTTGCAGACTGTGTTGTATCTCCCCAAAATTTGTATATTGAAGCCCTAAGCCCCGAAGTGACTATATTTGGAGCTAGGGCTTTTAGGAGGTAATTAAGGCTAAATGAGGTCATGTGAGTGGAGTCCTACTCTGATAGGATCAGTAGCCTTATAAGAAAAGGGAGAGGAGCCTCACTGTTTTCATGCGCACACCCTGAGGAAAGGCTTTGTGAGCACACAGTGAGAAGGTAGCTGTCCATATGCCAGGAAAAGAGTCCTCACCAGAAACCTAGTTGGCCCACACCTTGATCTTGGCCTTCCCAGGTTCCTGAACTGTGAGTGATAAATTTCTACTGTTTCAGCCACACAGTCTATGGTATTATATTATGGCAGTTCAAGTAGACTAATTCAGAATATCTGACAAATTCTATGACCTCTTTGGCTAGAAAGAAATGCAGATAAACACATTAACATCACATTTTGATAAAATTTAGAGTGGGCTGTGGATCTACCTGATACCCATTTGTGGACCATCTGGAACTCGATACTGGGCTCAGGGTAGTCTGTATTAAGCACCATCGGTAAGGTCCAGAGGGTAAGAGGAGACCTGTGGCCTGAGATAGCACCCCAGGATTGGGGAAGAGCCCTTGAGGGGGCAACGTAAGATGATTTATTCTGGTCAAGGGAAAGGAAAATGGGCCTGGAATAGCAGACCCTGAGTGCAGTTCCAGCAGCACAAAGTAAACTCACCCAGATTCTCTTGAGCACCAGTTAGGAAGGTTCTCTGGGGTGGTGGGGTTGGGGAGATGTCAGGCTAGAGCAGGCGTCCTCAAACTATGACCTGCGGGCCCCATGCGGGTATTTTTGCCCCTTTGTTGTTTTACTTCAAAATAAGGTATGTGCAGTGTGCATAGGAATTTGTTCATAGTTTTTTTTAAACTATAGTCCGGCCCTCCAATGGTCTGAGGGACAGTGAACTGGCCCCCTTTTTATAAAGTTTGAGGACCCCTGGGCTAGAGGGTGCTGCCTGCTTAATTTGGGGGCACGGTGCAGAACCCTGATTTAGCCTCCTTTTGCCATGGCAGAAACTCTTTGGAAACCCCAACTGTGGGAAGTCCTGCCCCGAGATGTTCCCATAGACCCTAAAACACCAGACCAGGTGTGACCTGATTCACCCACTGGGGCACAGGTGGCCTGTCCTAGATGGGGGTGGGGGGAAGGCATGTATTCAGTTAACGGCTGCCAGGTGAGGTGTGGCGACTGCCCTCTTTTCACTGAGTTTAAGCATCGCCACATACAAATGGAGAGTGTGCTTTGTGTGTGTGGTGGTAATTAAATTGGTTTGATTTAAATAGTTTAGAAGTGTTTGGTCCTTATTGTCTAGGCCTTTACATGCTAAACATTCGGAAAGTATTAGAACACACTATATATTTAGCATACTGTTTGGTTTAATTGTTACCTTTCTGGGGTCGCCTTCCTATGTCTGTTAATTTGGAGGGCTATGGAGCAAGTCTGCGTGGATAGTAACATCCCACCGTTCAATCCAGCAGTCACAGTAGGCCAAGGAGATGATGAACCACTTCTTACTCTGGCCTAAGCCTGAAGAATTTCCCAGAAGATTGCATGGAAGTGAGCTTGAATTTCTAGATGGACTAACTTCAGTGGCAGGAAGTGAATGGGGCACATAGAGCGAGGCCCGAAGGATGGCTGGATCGAAATGAAAAAGGAGAGGGTAAAGGGAAGGGTTGGAAGCCATTCTCATTCTTCTGTGGCTTCTCAGGGTGACTTAAACTCTGCCCCATATTGCAGGAGAATCATTCTCCTTTTAAATTGTTTTTGATGGCTCAGGGATGAGCAACTTGTCCTGTTCTCAGAAGGATTCTTCACTTACAGGAAAAAGAGTCAATAGCCCATGTGGAGTATTTCTCTAGCAAAAGTGAACCTCGTGTTTTCTCTTAAAAGGAAGCTTACAAAGGGGACAACCAAGTTTTGTTGGGCTGAGGACTCCTCTGAAAAAAGAATGTTTTATCACTTTCAGTTCTTTTGTTTTTAGATCACATGAAAGGATTAAGAGCCCCTACCTTGAAAAGAAGGTTGGAGTGCAGGTAATTTATTTTGCTACGTGTGTGTGTGTTTAAGTAAACATTTTAATTGAGAGGTGATAACGTCTATCCAGAAAAGTCCATCCCCCGTAAGGGCACAGCCTGATGAGCTTTTTTACAAGGTGAACACATCTGTGTAGCTCCCCCCCACCCCAGACCAAGAGCCAAAATAGTGCTAATATCCCAGGCCCCCTGTCTCCTCCCAAAGGTAACCTCTATTCTGACTTGTATTATCGTGGGGTAGCTTTGGCTGTTATTTGAACTTTGTGTAAATAGAATCACACCAAATAGACTTTTATATTTGTGTAATTCATCTATGCTATTGAGTATAGCAATAACTCATTCATTTTCATCTCTATAAGAGTGTGTGTATATGAGAATGGTTGTCCCATTATAAAGAAATCAGTTAAGACTTTTTCTTTCTCTTGAAGCTGAACTATTGGATTCCTGCAGCCATTGGCTAAATCTAAATTCTAAAATCTCAAGATATATATTTGGAAAGGGCCCTTTTGACTTTTGAACCAGTGGACGTCAAGGCTTTTCAGCTAATCAGCAACAATAGTCTGTGTTCTTAATACTGATAGCTAATATTTATTGAACACTTACTATATTCTGGGCACTATGCATTTCTAGTTCAACAGCTTTTTTGAGTGCCTGTGATGAGGCAGGCTTTGTACTGGAGGAGCCACACAGATGAAAACCCATGTCCTCTTGGACGTGACATTACCATCAGAGCCTCTTGACAACCTTTTGAATAGATACTATTATTATTTCTATTTTACAGATGAGGAAACTGAGGAACCAGAGAGGTTAAATTAGTTGCCCAGTGTCATGCAGCCAGTAGGTGGCAGGACCAGGATTTCAACCAGGTCTGTCTGACTTTAGAGCCTATGTATCAGTTACGTATTGCTGCGTTACAAATCGCCCCAAGCCGAGTGACTTAAACCAACACTAATCAGGTGCCATCTCTTAGTTTCTGTGGGTCTGGAATTCCGACGGCATAGAATTGGGGTGGCTGGTTTCTGCCTGACTGGGCTGAAGTACTCTGAAGAGTTGCTCAGTGTCTGATACCTGGGCTGGGAAGATGGCTAAGGGATAAGACAGTTGGGACTCCTTGGGCATCTCTCTCTATTTCTGCAAAGTCTCCGTGGCATGGTGTTTTCAGGATAGCCAGACCTGGTAAATGGAGGCTCAGAATTAAAAAGTCTATGTCCCAAGAGAGGCAGCAGGAAGTTATATTGCCTGGAGATCTGACCTCGAAGGGTATACGATTACTTCCACCACGTTCTGTGGTTAAGGCAGTTACAAAAGACTGCCCAGATTCAAGGGCAGGGAGCATAGACCCCTCCGGTCAGTGGAGGAATTCTGATACCCATTTTGTAAGAAGAATGTGTGTGGATGGGGTATATATAGTAGCATGGCCATCTTTGGAAAATACAGTCTACCACTGACAGTATTCCTAACCTCTGTACTGTCAAATTTTTAAAGTTTATTATGAAATTCTGTTTGTTTTTTTTTTTTTAAAAAAAGTAGATAGAATTGATTCATGTGAAGTAAAAAGCAGAAGTCTCTGCTCCCAGCCCCTGTTTGTCATTCTCCAAATGTAGGTTAATGTTTGGTGGCATCTTTCCAGATATACATGCCCAATCAGGTATAAGCAGGTGTTTTTCCCATAACAATGGTGAGGGACAACTTTTTTTTTTTTTTTTTTTGAGATAGAGTCTCACTCTGTTGCCTGGGCTAGAGTGCTGTGGCGTCAGCCTAGCTCACAGCAACCTCCAACTCCTGGGCTCAAGGGATCCTCCTGCCTCAGCCTCCCTCCCAAATAGCTGGGACTACTACAGGTATAGGCCACGACGCCTGGGCTAAGAGGGACAACTTTTTGAGGAGGTCAGAGGACATAGTATGTCCCCCTCCTTTATTCTTTTGATGGGACTGAAATAGTGGGCATAGGTATGTTAGGAACTACACTAACACTTTCTGTGCCAGCGAAGTTTCTGATTTATTAGAGAAAACTGATGTATGATGAAATATATTTCCTAGTCACCAAGATGGCTTATTTTGGATTATACTGAAATCACCCTTGTCTTTTCCTTTCAGCTTGAAGGTTTGTTTATACTGCTCACCTGTTACTAAGGAGTTACTGTTAACTAGCCCGAAATACAAATTTTGGGAGAAACGAATTGTAAGTTTTATTTTTTGAATAACATTAATCTTTTTTTTAAGTGGGAAATATTTTTAGAGGTAGATTGCAAAAAACATTGGAATTACTCAAAACCCAATTCCTCACATGCTGTAGTTACCCACGTTAATTAGAATGTTGATATTTAGTCCTTTGTAATTCAGCAGTTTAGAAGAGGTCAACATTTTGTTGTTGTCAATTTGGTTTTTTGTTCCTCAAGAGTTTGATCTAGGTCTTTAGTTTTGTGTATGTAATCTCATTGACTCTCTAGCTAAGATGCATTTCAATATTTTAGAGTATGAAATGATCATTAACATAATTGCTAGATCATTTTAATTAGATCATGGGACAGAGTAGGAAAAATAAACATAATTTATGGGCTATCATAAGGAAGGAGTAGCAACCAGAAGAATACAATAGAATGGATAACTTTTAATCTGGCAGCATAAAATGGATCTATCCAATATAAGGTGGTAAAGGTGAGAAAAACAAAAGTGTGGTACATAGAAAATAGAAAGAAGGCTGAAAAAGTCCTATTATAACAATAATTACTATAAACCTGAATGAATTTAATTCAACTCATGATCAAAAGACAAATTCTCAGTTTACATAAAAAAAAAAATAAGAAAGACCCAGGTTGAGTGTGGTGGCTCATGCCTATAATCCTTGCACTTTGGGAGGCCAAGGTGGGAAGATCACTTGAGGCCAGGAGTTTGAGACCAGCCTGAGCAACGTAGACCCCCACCTCTCTACAATAAATAAAATCAGCTGGGTGTAGTAGCACATGCCTGTGGTCCCAGCTACTTGGGAGGCTGAGGCAGGAGGATCGCTTGAGCCCAGGAGTTCAAAGCTGCAGTGAGCTATGATGAGGCCACTGCTCTGTAGTCCAGGCAACAGAACAAGACCCTGTCTCTAAATAAGAAAGAAAGATCTGCTAGTATTAGTCTACAAGAGACATAGATAAAAACAAAAGGATCAGTACAGGTTGAAATTGGTGGGGGGGAAGATAAACTAAACAGTCAAAAGCCCCAAATGGAGTAGTAACCATCAAAGAAATACAAACAATTATTAAGGATAGCTTCATCAAAAAAAAAAAAAAAAAAAAAAAAGCCCGATGCCCAGATGGTTTTATGGGTGCATTTTACCAAATGTTCAAAGAACAAATAATCCCTACATTAGATGAGTTGTTTAAGGCAATAATAAAAAGATAAGTGGCTAAACCTTGCTAGCAAAACAGATAACATACAAGGTAAGAGAGCAATTTCATACATTAAATATGTGACAATCCTAATTAAGATAGTAACTAACCAAACTTAACAGTAATAAATAGTGCACCATGAATCAGATGTTGTATTCCAGAAATATAAGGATATTGTAACACCCAAACCTTAGTTACTATAAGTTTTATGATATTAGTGAACTAAAAAGATGAAGAACCACATTCATCCATTCATCAGATACTTCTTGAATGCCTCATTTGTGCTGGTCACTGTTCTAGTGAAATGGGCACATATACTGCAGCAGTTGGAGAATGAGCTGTACATATCGTGGGCTGATCCAGCCTGTGTTCTATGGCACAAAACCTAAACACACAGTACACATGATCACATGTTTTTACAAAGACTCAAATGCAAACGGAGAAGAGAGTGTGAGTGGCAGGGATAGGGGGATGGAGGAGCATTGAATTCATGGAAATAGAATTATGTCAAAGAACTATATACATTTATAAGGCTTTTAATTCATTTTACAAAATTGTTTCAGGAAAGGTATTTTTGTTTTACTGTTTTTCCAAACTGTTAAAATATTTATTATGGTGAAATCAGAAATTGTCATACAGAGAGAGTCTGTAACTTCATTTCGTTTCTGTGTTTGAGATGGCAAAGGCATATAAAGTTGTGAAAAAACTGACATATACATGATATTTTATTTTTATAGATATCAATTGAAATCGAAACTCCTACCCAGATATCTTTAGTTGATGAAGCATCGGGCGAGGTAACTACATTGAAATACCATGTGATTTTTAAAAACATTTAGTGCTAAAATGATTGTTTATCTTTCTTGATTTTGAATGTTCATTTAACCATACATAAAAATTTAGTCATTGAATGGGTTTGTAGGGGGGAAAATTCCCAAAACATTTGTGATTGTTTTAGTCCACTTGGACTGCTATCACAAAAATAATGTAGACTGGGTGTCTTAAACAATAGACGTTTAGCTCTCAGTTCTAGAGGCTGAAAGTTCAAGATCAAGGCTCTGGCAGATTGGTATCTAGTGAGGGTCTGCTTCCTGGTTCTTTTTCCTGCGTCCTCACATGATGGAAGGGACAAACATGCTCCCTTGGTCCTGTTTTATAAGGCCACTAATCCCATTCATGAGGGCTCTACCCTCGAGAAGTAATCGCCTCCCAAAGACCCCACCTCCTAACACCATCACCTCAAGGATTAATATTTCAATTTATGAATTTTGGGGGGGAACACAAACATTCAGTCCATAATAGTGACTTATTTCCTACATTGAAAGGATTGGACATAAATTAATTTTTTTTTTTTTTTGTCAAAATTGTTCCTTTTTAGTATTACATGCTAATGATGGGAGCTCTAGTTGCTGATATTACTACATGGTATCATAGTCATATTTATTACGTTTATTATAATGTTCAGGATATAAAATGGTGGTTAACATATTTGCAGAAAATGTATGTATATTGTAATTTTTTTCTGAATCATTAATTAAAAAAAAAGTCACTGCCCAAGTGGGTAAAATTTATTTTTCATCCTTAAATTTAGAAGTAGTACTTTTGTGAATGTGCTGTTTTAATAGGAGGTAGAACTACGGACCTGCTTTTTTGTTTTTCACCCTGAAATTATATGCAGGGCTAAAAATTTTCCTGTTTTAGCCAGTTAATATTCATTCTGTAGCCTGATTATAATACATTGCTTTGATATGTTTAACTCTGAGGGTGTCTTGTGTCGCGTGAATGTGATCAGAACAGAAACTGACTTTTTCAGATATGTCTTCTTTGAAAACATCAGACAGTTGAAATTGTAGTATTCCTCTCTGCAAATTAGCATCCTAAGGGAAGACTGCAGGGCCAGTTTAGGGTGGGTTAAAACAGAGGGGAGAGGGGGTAGGAAAAGACGGCCTAGACATTTTTCTAGATGCCGTCCTGGACTCTGGACGACTGGTTTTCCAGGGAATACCGTAATTGATTCGAGGCCTTGTCACGGACGGATATATGGTGAGAGGCTTTGCCCAGGCAGGACAGCCAACAGTGGGCAGGCTTTGGGGCAGTCTTGCTGCCTCACCCTGATCCTTCATTCCCCTTCTTGTGGGCCATGGCCTTTGTGCATCGTTTATCCAGCACACTGGTGGGAGGGGCCTTCACAATGAGTAAGGTTGGACTGGTGTGAGGAGTCACGTCACTGACTAGCAAGCTGGCTCCCCACGTGCCACTGGCCGGAGAGGCGCTGGTGCCCTGCAGGCCCTGCCCTCGAGGGACAGTACAATGTGCAGTGTGTGTGAGGACCAGGCTACATCCAGTCTTGTTTTTTTTTTTTTTTTTAAATAGCTTCATTGAGATGTAAGTCCAAGTCACAGAATTGTGTATTTTGGAATATTTTCATCACTCCAGAGGAGAGACCCTGTACCTATTGCAATCCCTCTCCATTCCCTGGCCCCTCCCAGCCTTGGCAACCGCTACTATATTCTACTCTCTGTCTCTATGGATTTGCCTATTCATGTTTCGTATCTATGGAATTACACAATGTGTCCAGCTCCTTTCACGAAACATGATGTTTTCAAGGGTCATCCATGTTGTAGCATGTGTCAGTATGTCACATCTTTTCATGGCCAAATCACATTCCGTGTATGGAATATCAGACCACATTTTATTTATATTTGTTCATCAGTTAATAGACATCTGGGCTGTTTCCACTTTTTAGCTCATAAGAATAATCCTACCATGAACATTCATGTACAAATTTTTGTGTAGACATAAAGTTTTCGTTTCTCTTGGTTCTATAACTAGCAGTGGAATAGCTCAGTCCTTTGGGAACTCTATGTTTAATCATTTATCGAGTGGATGAGGATTCTAGTTGTTGCTAGGATTTGGAGAGCAAGGAAATTGGGGGAGAAAAGTCACCTTGTTGAGAGGTACTTGAATGTGTTCTATCAAGGAGGGTTTTATTTAGCTGGATCCTAATAATAACTTCTATTATTGTTTTTTTCTTTATTTTCTTTATAGAAGGAAGAGATTGTTGTGACTCTCTTACCAGCTGGTCACTGCCCAGGATCAGTTATGTAAGGGGGCTCATCTATTTTGCCATTTTATTATAATGTGTTATGTGTTGTATTTGTAGAAATAAATTTTTAGGTCTAAAAATTAATATGGATAGGGAGATTTGATTATTTTTCTGGCCATTTCTTTAACCTTTCTTTCCAAATTGAACTTGGGGGATGGAGGTGAAGATCAAATTTGAAACATGGCTTTCTAACCATGGAAGTCTTCAATTACTATTCCTCCACTGACTTTGCATTCCCTTGTCACATGGATTTTTCTCTCCATGAATAGGAATGGTCTCAATATATAATTGAGAGTGCTAACATTCTGTTATTTCTTTCTACGTAAGAAAAGAGGCGACGGTGAAGTGCCTGGTGTGGTTTTATAGCTATAGTCATTCCATTAACACTGTATCATGAGAGGGAGGTTCAGCAAGAAGCATTCGCTATGGATTTGGCATGCATTTGCTTTATTAAGATTTTGTATGAGACTTAGAAGTCACCGAGATGTATTTCCTTTTCAGGTTTTTATTTCAGGGCAATAATGGAACTGTCTTGTACACAGGAGACTTCAGATTGGCGAAAGGAGAAGCTGCCAGAATGGAGCTTCTGCACTCTGGGGGCAGGTACTGGGCGTTATACAGCTCTTGAATGTGAGACCGCATGGTTTAAAAAGTTTTATTGCACTTGTCCCAACAAACGCAAGCCTTTGTTTTTGTTAGATGTCAAACTTGATTATACTATTTGTAATAGTAGAGCCAGTTTTTCTCTATGACATCGGGTATTGGAGTGTTCTCTACTGAATTAGGGCAGTAGTTACATGAATTTGTCAAAATTCACTGAATCGTTTATGGAAAATCTGTGTATTTTTATTGTATGGAAATAATTTCTCAGCAAAGTTGATTGAACAAAAACATTCCAAAGGCAATGGAACACCCTGTAAAATAACTGAGAGTTTAAATCTTATGCATAATTCATGTCCCACTTGATGGCTATCAGCAGTTTTTTTCTTCTTTCAGAGTAAAAGACATCCAGAGTGTATATTTAGATACCACTTTCTGCGATCCAAGATTTTATCAAATTCCAAGTCGGGTAAGTCTGCCTGGAGGAATGTGGCAGTAATTCTAGCAGGAGGGTTTTTAGGATGACAGATCAGATCGTCTTTGTCCCTGTTGACATGAGTACCCGCGAGTGTCAGGAATGAAAGAGTAAATGAGGCTCTTCACAAATGTCTCAACAATCCTGTCTAGGGGGAATGTCTGAGTGGAATCTTAGAGCTGGTTCGCAGCTGGATCACTCGGAGTCCGTGCCATGTCGTGTGGCTGAACTGCAAGGCAGCTTACGGCTACGAGTATTTGTTCACCAACCTTAGTGAAGAATTTGGAGTCCAGGTATGGCGACTGACTGTTCTTTTCTCTCCCTCCCTTCCATTCTCCCAACTTCTTCTTTCCTTCCCCTCCCTGCCCCCAAATAACCAAAAACAGTGACAGACGGAAGTGACCTATCGAAACCGTGTTTGCAGCAGAGGTTGGTGGCTTCTCTAAGGTGATGTCATCTTTGTTTACATCCTCATGGGAGGAAACTGACAGGAGCCCAGATAGCTTAGAAGAGCCTTCAAGTGAAATGCCCCATAGAGGAAGTATTTTTTTCCAAACTGTGGGTCATGAAATAAATTTAGTGATTGTGACCAGCATTGAAAATAAATTTGAACTAGGAGGTATCAGTGTATATTGCTTGCTGTCAGGGTCATTATCATTTTGGGAACAGAGGAGCAGCTGTGTGTTTATTTTTTTTTTTTATTTTTTTTATTTTTTTATTTTTTTGAGACAGAGTCTCCCTTTGTTGTCCAGGCTAGAGTGAGTGCCATGGCGTCAGCCTAGCTCACAGCAACCTCAAACTCCTGGGCTCCAGCGATCCTTCTGCCTCAGCCTCCCGAGTAGCTGGGACTACAGGCATGCGCCACCATGCCCGGCTAATTTTTTATATATATATCAATTGGCCAATTAATTTCTTTCTATTTATAGTAGAGACGGGGTCTCGCTCTTGCTCAGGCTGGTTTTGAACTCCTGACCTTGAGCAATCCGCCCGCCTCGGCCTCCCAAGAGCTAGGATTACAGGCGTGAGCCACAGCGCCCGGCCTGTGTGTTTATTTTTAAGGGTAGGTGGTTCCTGATTGTTTTTTGTCTGCTTTGATCACTGCTGTATACCCAGCATTTAGAACCACATGTGATGACATACAGTAGGCTCACAATAAATAATAATTGAATTCCTTTTGAAAGACTAAAGGGCAGTATTAGCTAGGATCAAATAAAATCCATAAGCCACGTGTCTAACTTTTTACTGCCACCGGTGACTTGGTTGGACTTGTGCCTGTTGACGTCCTGGCAGAATACTACCATGGACTGAAACAGCCAAAAACTAGGTTGCAAGAAAGAAGAGGGGGTTAGTTCACTAACTGGATGTTTCGATCTGAATATTAACCATGTATTTATAGGAAATGCATTTCAAATAATTTGCTTATGTATGTTACTCAGGTTCACGTGGATAAGCTAGACATGTTTAGAAACATGCCCGACATCCTTCATCATCTCACGACGGACCGCAGAACCCAGATCCATGCGTGCCGGCATCCAAAGGTACATGTGCAAGTGATTTTTCTTGTATTGTTTGTGTGACCCGTAAAAAAGATTTTCAGGTTGGGAAGAAACCTCAGAAATTCCATTTTTTAGGCTCCACACTTTACAAATGTACAAACTGAGGGTATACTCCTAAATCGTTAGCTCAAGTTCACACAGCTGTACAGTACTGTAGTCCATTACCATATACTCCGTAATTAGTGAACAGACACAGATCCTTACAGTTTTCCGATGAAATCTATTCATACAGATTTGAGAATGCAAATTCATTTGTAAGGAAAGTAGTAATATATTATAGCTTATAATTTAAAACATTCATGGTCCACACTGCTTATTTATTTATTTATTTATTTATTTATTTATTTATTTATTTATTTTTTGAGACAGAGTCTCGCTTTGTTGTCCAGGCTAGAGTGAGTGCCATGGCGTCAGCCTAGCTCACAGCAACCTCAAACTCCTGGGCTCGAGCGATCCTTCTGCCTCAGCCTCCCGAGTAGCTGGGACTACAGGCATGCGCCACCATGCCCGGCTAATTTTTTATATACATATCAGTTGGCCAATTAATTTCTTTCTATTTATAGTAGAGACGGGGTCTCGCTCTTGCTCAGGCTGGTTTTGAACTCCTGACCTTGAGCAATCCGCCCGCCTCGGCCTCCCAGAGAGCTAGGATTACAGGCGTGAGCCACCGCGCCCGGCCCTGCTAATTTATTTTTAAGACAAGTGACATGGGCATACGTATAAACTATTTGTCTTCTACTCATTTGAGACAAATATCTAGATATAACGTTCCGTCACACTTTGAAAGTTACATGTATTGATGGTTCTATTTCAAATGTATGCTTCCGGTGTTTCTGTAACTCACTTGTGATTGTTTTCTAATACCACCGTAGAACCCCCTTCTGTTTTCAAATGTCAGATATAAGACTTCCATTTCAAATTTTCCTTGACATTTTTTTCAATTAAAAAAATTCAGTTTTTTAGTTTAAAATGTCATGACAAATTAATGATCTTCAAATGTAGTGGTATTAGTGAATCTAATTTTCCTCTAAAGTTTAAAATATCTTTTTTTTTTGAGACAGAGTCTCACTCTGTTGCCTGGGCTAGAGTGCTGTGGCGTCAGCCTAACTCACAGTAACCTCAAACTCCTGGGCTCAAGCAATCCTTCTGCCTCAGCCTCCCAAGTAGTTGGGACTACAGGCATGTGCCACCATGCCCAGCTAATTTTTTTTTTCTATATATTTTTAGCTGTCCAAGTAATTTCTTTCTATTTTTGGTAGAGACGGGGTCTCACTCTTGCTCAGGGTGGTCTCGAACTCCAGAGCTCAAACGATCCACCCACCTCGGCCTCCCAGAGTGTTAGGATTACAGGTGTGAGCTACTGCGCCTGGCCTAAATTTTAAAATATCTTAAGCATGCAAATGCTGAGCAATTTTTTAGTGAATACTGCATTTATACCTTTAAATCACCATTGTGGTAGTACTGTTGGCTCCATCAGCCAAAAGCCTAAAGTTGCTTGGCCCTTATAATGAAGCATAATATTAAACAAAAAAAGAATTCTTATCCACAGCACGGACTGTTCTTCTATAGGCCACTGTAAGAGCTGCAAGGTAAGAAATTACTTCTGATGATTGGTAAGCTACGTATTCTATCTTGCATTCATAAATTTATTTAATTTTTTTAAGTGTGTGTACTTACATAAATATATATTCACATACATACACTTACACACATATGCAGTGGACTCTTGGATGGTTAAAAATGTACATATTAAATTAAATATAAATTATCTTGTCCTTTTTTCTATTAGACTTATAGTCTTTGGTCCCTTGTATTACAAATCTTGTAATTGGCAAATTTCTTTTTGTTGTGAATTTTCTCACATCCCACAGAGTAGCTTAATTTGTAATTGCTACTGCTGTCATAGCTTTCCTGAGACACTGCTGCTAGCAGCTTAAAATATATTTTAGGTCACACAGCCTTTAAAAGTACTGGGAGGTCTGGAGCTTGTGGAGTTCTTTCTTCATGAGAAACAGCACCAAGGCACTCTGAAGAAATCCAGACTGGGATGGAGTGCTAATGGTTTTGAAGGACCCAGAAGTAAAAATAATGTCTTTGGAAGTGTCATCCTATTACTTTTGAGCTGTTTGAAAACACTTTTATTATTTTTTTCCCTCTGACTTTATTTAAAAAAATTTTTTAAAACAGTGAAGTTGTAAGGCTAGTTAGTATAAAGAACGCCATACTCCCTGGAGTGGCAGGTTTGTTAACACTGCCACGTTCTCTCTCGCTTTCTCTTTTTCTATGTATGTGTAACCAACTCCTCTACCCCAAACCATCTGAGAGCATGTTGCAGACTCCATGGCACTTCACCCCAAATCCTTCAGCATGTATCTCTTGGAATAAGAACATTCTCATATGATTCCTCCACTCAGGAAATTTAGTGTTGTCATAGTACTGGTAGCTAGTATACAGTCCATAGTCACATTTCCCCAGTTGTCTCAGTAGTGTCCTTGATAGCTTGTGGGGCAGGCAGGAGGGGTATGGGGGACTCAGTTAAGGGTCATGCATTGCATTCAGTCAGGCCTGAAGGGTCTCTTGATGTAGGTCACATCCCCTAGCCTTTGCTTCTCTGTCCTAATGTTGATGGTTCTGGACAGTTCAGGCCAGTTGTTTTGTAGAATGTTCCTCAATTTGGAATTATCTGATTGTTTCCTCATGTCTACATTTTGTTTTTCATGTCTGAAAATTAATTTACCTTTGTTTTTGAGACGCTCCCTATAAAAAGATTTGTCAGAAATGTACAACTGTTTTTCTGTGTTTTTGCTCTTTCTTAGGCAGAAGAATATTTTCAGTGGAACAGACTACCTTGTGGAATTACTTCCAAAAACAGGATTCCACTCCGCACAATCAGCATTAAGCCATCCACCATGTGGTTTGGAGAAAGAACCAGAAAAACAGATGTCATAGTGAGGTAAGAACGCAATGTCATAGGTCTTCTGAGGGAAACCTGGTTTTGAGGTCAATTGTATGATTTAATCTGTCAATGCAGTCTAGGCTAAGCCCAAGAAGAGGATATGTTAGAGGTGTGGGAAATAATTTCTTAAACTTTATTTAATGTGAGGATATGCTTCTTCCAACCCATGGCGATACCAGTGGCCATTCTATCCTGAGTGTTACTCTAGTTGGCTAAGATGGTTGCAGACCGAGGGTACCTGAGTGCTCGCCTAGAGGTTATAAACTGACGTCGTAGAGAACAGAAGCCCTTGGCAGAGTGCAGGAGTTACCATGATGATCACAGTATCTTAGCAACATTCCCTTAACTCTGGCTGTTCAGAGTGTACGCAACAAATTTCCGTTTCTGAAAAAGATTCACTCCTGTTCCAAGAAGTTCCTGACTTAGGGTGATCTCATACTGAAATTGCCTAAATGGGAAGGGTCAAAGTTTAGAACTTGGCTTAGTTTTGCTAAGTGACCTTTTCATTTCATGTGTTCATTTTCCTCCAGGACTGGAGAAAGTTCATACAGAGCTTGTTTTTCTTTTCACTCTTCCTATAGCGAGGTAAGAGGATCCGTGTACTCATAAACCTTATTGCTGACTGTTCTGCAGCCTTCATGGGTCACTGCAGTTCCCTTGACTTTCAGAGGCATCTCTTTTTCTATTTAAGTCTCATTTCCTTTCTTTTTTTAAAATACAGCTGATCCTTATTATTCACGGATTCCATATTTGTGCGTTTCCTGCTCCCTGAAACTATTCTGTAAACCCAATACCAACACCAATGTTTGCGGTGCTTTTGTGATCATTTGTGGACACGGGAGAGTGGTCAAAAATGTGAGCCACCGGACATGCGCGTTCCCAGCTTATATCAAGCAAGGCAGCGCTCTGCCGCCACGTTTCAGCTCTCGTACTCTCAACAGTGTCCTTTCTGGGTCTGTTGAGTGGCGTGTTTGTCATATTTTTGTGCTTTGTGTTGGTGATATCACTATTTTATTTATTTTTATTTTTTTTGAGATAGAGTTTCACTCTGTTGCCCGGGCTAGAGTGCCATGGCGTCAGCCTAGCTCACAGCAACCTCAAACTCCTTGGCTCAAGCAATCCTGCCTCAGCCTCCCGAGTAGCTGGGACTACAGGCATGTGCCACCATGCCCGGCTAATTTTTTTTATATATTTTTAGTTGGCCAATTAATTTCTTTCTATTTTTGGTAGAGATGGGGTCTCACCCTTGCTCAGGGTGGTTTTGAACTCCTGACCTTGAGCGATCCTCCCGCCTGGGCCTCCCAGCGTGCTAGGATTACAGGCGTGAACCACCACACCCGGCCCAATATCACTATTTTAAATGGTTCCCAAACTTAGTACTGAAGTTCTATCTAGCATTCCTATCTCAAGAAGGCTGGGATGTGCCTTATGGAGAAGATATGTTAGATAAGCTTTGTTCAGGCATGAGTCGTAGTCCTGCTGGCCATGAGTTCAATGTTCTTGAATCAACAATATATATTAAATAAGGTGTCTTTAAACAGAAACACACATAAAATGAGGTTATGTATTGACTGACTGAAAATGATATTCACCAGAGGCTCCCATGAACTCTACCCGGTATTTCCCCTAGGAGCAATGGTTCAGTATTTGCTAATTCTGTTATTCGTGGTGACTTTATAGAACATAACTGCTGTGGATAAAGAGAAATCGACTGTATTAACGCGTTGTTTTAAAGGCATTTGATGCCAGGGAGTCAAGTTGTGCATGTGAGAGAGAGAGTTCCTCTACTGGGTGTCTCTCTCCTCCCTGTGGCCACTTCATCCCTGAGAACAAGCAGTGAATCTTTTCTAGTATAGGCTTGACCTAACTCTCTTTATCTGTATTCCCCTCAGGAGTCTTAGATTTATTTCTCAACTTTAACTGATTGTGCAAACCAAATAAGTAGTGGGCAGGCAAATAATGGTTTGTCTTTGCATGCCTAATTCGAAGGTACACAAGAAATTGCTTATGAAAGATAACAGGTCCTCCTGCTTTGCCCCATCTTAACTAAAGCAGCCATCTTATTTTTATATAGTTAATGGTAATCTCTGGGTTCTTGCCTCTTTTGATTTGGTCTTTTCTTTGGAAAGTTGGACAGTAGCAAGCATTTTATGCCCTAGTTTGACTTTCTATTTGCAGAAGGAAATAAAAATCTTTGCGTTGTCATTGTCAACTTTGTAATGGATAATTTTATTGACTTGCACCATGTGCTAGGGACTGGGCTAAGCACTTTGTGTGTTATCTCAGTCTTTCAGATGAATAATCTAAGATGTGGAGATGACTTGCCAAGATTTATCTAACAAATGCAAAGGTCATCTGGGTTGTAGAGATGCTTTGAGGAATAGTGACAGTTCCTCCGTGTAGCATTCTGAACTTTGCAGAAAGTCAAGGTATTTCGTGAAATTTTTGCATGTAATTGTGCTTGTTTAGAATTAATTGTTGGGAAAGGCAGTCCCAAGTGCACAGTCTTCCCACCTGCACTGGCCACAGAAGAAGGGCCCTTGGCCTGGAGCAATTCTTACCAAGAGGTAAAGAGCACATGTAGCTGAACCAGCTGATAGCCTGCTGACTGCCTTGTGTGGAAACATCTTTCTCTGTTTTTTGGACTCACCGTGTGTTCCTTTGTTTTGCTTAAGACTGTGTGTCAATGGCCCTCAGGCACACCCCTGCTTTCCTGATTGCAGACACTATGGGGGAGGAGGAGGCGTGGGAGGAGAGGGGTGCTGTAGGCAGATTGCCCATGCTGGCTATGGGGGACTGACAGACCCCTGGAGCTGACCTTGTTCTGTCTGTTCTTTGTAAGTAAAGCATTGTTCCATCCAGTGCTTGATGTCCCATTGCTTTCCTTGGTGACTCCAACACCAAGATGCCACAGGTAGACGTGTTTGGATTCCTTCCCTAGGATTTGGTAACCAGTGCATAGTGTGTTCTGCTCTATGAGAACAAACTGTTAGAACAAATTAAGTAAACTTGAAGATGTAATTCTCTTGATATTGCTAATTATTTGCAGGAGGAAAAAAATGCAGTTTTTTGTTTTGTTTTTGTTTTTTAAGAGAAAAAATGGTCTCACTATATCAACCAAGCTGGCCTCAAACTCCGGGGTTCAAGTGATCCTCCCACCTCAACCTCCCAAAGTGCTAAGATTACAGATGTGCCCCACTGCACCTGGCTAAGAAGTGCAATTCTAAGACTTTTTCTTGTGTGTATTACAGTTAATTCTCAGCTAAATTCTAACTTACCTCAAAGGGGATTTGTTAAATATGAGCTATTGACCTTGGACAAGGAAACTATCATATTAAAAAAATAAAGAGGGCCGGGCGCAGTGGCTCACGCCTGTAATCCCAAGAAGGCAGAGGCAGGAGGATTGCTCAAGGTCAGGAGTTCAAAACCAGCCTGAGCAAGAGCGAGACCCCGTCTCTACTAAAAATAGAAAGAAATGAATTGGCCAACTAAAAATATATAGAAAAAATTAGCTGGGCATGGTGGCACATGCCTGTAGTCCCAGCTACTCAGGAGGCTGAAGCAGAAGGATTGCTTGAGCGAGAAGTTTGAAGTTGCTGTGAGCTAGGCTGACGCCGAGGTACTCTAGCCCGGGCAACAGAGTGAGATTCTGTCTGAAAGAAAAAAAAAATAATGTTTGAACCTCATTTCATCAGTGATTCTCAGCTCTTGCTGTGGAGCAGAGTTACCTGGAGACATTCCAATGTCCTGATTCCTAGCCCTGCATTCTCTCAGGGTTCAGAGGCTCTTTGGGAGTGAGGCCTGAGCATCGGCAATTCGTTTTTCCCAAGAGGCCCTCAGGTGACTCCTACATGCAGCCGCTGTTGAGAACCACAGTCACGAGATTTCTGCTTCTCTTACACTTGGCGTCCCTTTGTCTCCTCTCACACCCTAGTTTTTCATCATAGAGATAAGACAGTTGATCCATTTTATCTTCCTTCTTCCAGATTAAAGATTTCTTGAGCTACATCTGTCCTGTGAACGCATATCCAAATGTCATTCCAGTAGGCACGACTGTGGATAAAGTGATAGAAATGTGAGTAGTTACTGTTTGTGGAATTCAGCGCCTCCCTTTGTGGTTTGTCGATGGGTGACAATGCCTGAATGTTTACACATCTAGAACGCTGTGACACTTCTCAACTTATATTCATGTCCATTTTTCCTCGAGTGTTTACTTTAGTCCGCAGCGTGGCAGAAGGTAGAGGTGATGTTGTCAGTTTGTCCTGAATGGCATCTCAGCTTGTTTACTAGCAGTGTGATCTTAATCAGATCACTTTTCTGAGCTAATCATTTCGCATCAGAAAAGCAAGAATATTTCTGCCTCCTTGATGAGTTTCTTAGAGATTTGGAGATAATATATGAAATGTACTTAGCACAGTGCCAAATAGGTAGTCAGGTAAAGGTTATGTATTGAATGGATAAATGTAAGTCAAAGGAGAGGTGAAACAGTATAATGGATATCTTGTACTACGGTGTTACCATGTTTTCACCTCTTCTGGGAGTTTCATTTATGCATTCATTAAAGATTTCTTTGGAGCCAGCTATATGGTAGAGAGCCAGGCTAAGGTTCACCCTGCCCTAGCAGAGCTCCAGCCTCGTGGGGAGGCCAGGCGTGCAGGAAGGAACCAGACCTGGTGTCAGGGAATCTACCACAGAGACCCTGATGAGGACATATAGGACCCAAGCTAGCAAAAGTTGACAGAAAAGAAGATTCAGGAGCTGTGGGTGGGAGACACGGATTTCGAGTTGGCAGTGCAGGTGACAACTGAAACCATGAGGACATAGGAAATCACCAGGAGGGGGTGAGGAGGGATCACAAAGCTGTGGCCAGAACCCTGAGCAGCACGTTGAGGGGAGGGGTGGGGGAGGCAGTGCTGAGAAGAGATGGAGACAGGGTGGCCCAGAGCAGACGAGAACAGGGAAAGGCAGTAGAGGGCATCAGTGTCAAGACCCTTGAGAAGACAAATAATATAGGGACGACAATATATACATGTGAGCTCAGTGAGCGAAATTTTAGTAGACTTTTGAGTTAAAAGCCATTTTTCAGCTATTTGAGAAATGGGTAAAAAGTGAAGAAATGGAGAATACTCAGGATAGAACATTCTTTGAAAAAGCCCGAGGGTGAAGGGAAAGTTATGGTAACTGGAGGCAGCAAAACTTGAACATACATAAATTTGAATGTGGTCAGGCGTCACTTGGGGCGCTTATTAAAATGCATGCTCCCGTCTCGCATTTCTATCAGGCGATTTTTTTGTAGGCAGGTGGAGAAGGATGACCTCACTTTGAACAGTTATCCAAGAATAGCTGAAATGACTACAGAGAGAGGCGGTGACAAGAGCAGAGGTCCTTGGGGGTTGTACAAGGGGATGATCCACAAAACCCCGGTGGACCTGAGAACAGGGGAGTGATGTACAATGGCTGTGGCTGTACATGTTTCAGGCTCGGAACTTAATGGCCCTGTTCAAGTGTGTCGTGTTCATAGAGCATCCTAACAGCTTCCAGGAATGTGGAAGGAGGAGGTAGTTAAAAATGAGGCCCTCAGAAAAAGAGTGTAGGACACCTTCAAATGGTATTTCTGTGCCCTTTTCTATTTTATCTCTACCATGTCTTAGCTTTCAGCCTAAGGGTCTAGAACAAAGAGACTGAATCTGAGATTCTTGTAAGACAGAAGTAAATCCCAATAAACTGGGAAGGGGAAACAATGAGCTATGCTGTATTCCCTGAATGCCAGAAGATACCACCGTGTTTCTTACTAGGTTTTTAGGATAGGGACCTGCTTTTATAGTACTGTAAAAGGAAAGATGGAAGTTTTGGTCTAGTTTACTGAAGGTGTTTCCCTCCACCCTGACAATTAGAGAGACATCTACCAGGTTGTATTCAAGTGCTTATAGTCACCCCCTTAGTATACTGAAGTGATTTTTAATGATTACACATTGCTTTTTAGTTGTGCAAAATAGTTGTGTGATTTCCGCTATGGTCATGGTTTTGTAACCCCTATTAGTGATGCTTTGCTCCCAGCAGCTTTCCCAAAAGGAAAAATCAAATATTCTGATTTGTTTCAGCTTAAAGCCTTTATGCCGATCTTCCCAAAGTACTACGCCTAAGTACAAACCACTGGGAAAACTGAAGAAAGCTAGAACACTCTACCAAGACTCAGGTGAGAATGGTCCTGGGTTCAGGGGTTTGGGCTTCCGGCAAGGATTGCTTTCCAGCGTGCTGTGGTCTGGTGGAAATGGCCTTGGGCAGAAAGAGTGGACCCACGTAGCTCAAACTTGTCCCATGGTCTTGGGATGTGCTTTGCTTTCCTGTCCCCAGCCTGTAAAACCGGGAGTTGGCTGTCCTTCACAGGTTTAAAACAAGTGGTGAAAACTGCAGTATTGTGTGTTGGTCTCAGCTTTCTGGAATATGCCCTAAGACTTACATAGGCCATAAGGAGAGAGGCTACATTTTTATGTTTGAGCACCTCCTTAGGACACTAGTAAATGCAGATAAGAGACTTTTCTAGTCATCATTTCTCATCAGATTGATCGGTAGTGTTTATGCAAATGGATTTTCTCTCTACTTTTCTACCTTCACTTATTGCTACTTTAGGTTTTTAGTGAAGGACAGAGGTAAGCTCTGAAGCAGAAATCAGAACTTTAGATCCTGGGCAAAGCGCTGCAGCTTTACAGCAGCCAGCTTTAGTGGTTAGGGTTCTGAATTTCCATTCCTTTGGCGGAGAGCCAGTCACCATGCCATACCGTGAATACGTGGCCAAAACATGATAATAATGACACTATTTATTGAATACCTGCTACATGGCAGGTATTGTGCCAGGTCCTTTACACATGTTACAGCGAAACCTCTAAACAAATTTATGAGGGGGTACCATCCCAATTTTATCAATGAGGAAACTGAAGTTTAGAGAGTTAAGGAAAGCCCTCAGGGTCTAGCAGGAAGTAAGTGATAGGAGAGAGAGACCTAGATTAGAATCTCAGCCCATCTCTGCTTCTGCATTTCTGGTTAGAATATAATTTGAAAACATTTAGGTGCCAAGTCCAGGACTGATACACTAAACCTATTACTGGTGTCTGAAAGCAAACCTTTGTAGAACTCAAAAGGTTCTAGAAAAGTTCCATTAATTTCAAATGTTCACTCTATCCTGTAATACATTTTGTTATCTTTACAAATCTAGTTTTTTTTAAAAACAGCCTTACTGCGGTATAATTGATAAACTATAAATTATGCATGGTTAAGGTATAGGATTTGATACATTTTTACATATGCATACAGTTGAGAAACCATGACTCCAATTAAGATGTTGAAAATATCCATCATCATCAAGTTTCCTTATGCTACTTTATAATTCCTCCCTGTCTTCATTCCTGCCATGGCAACCACTGATCTGCCTTCTGTCACTAGGGATTAGTTTGCATTTTCTAGAATTTTGTATATGCCTGGCATATTTCACTCAGCACACTGGAGATTTGTTCATGTGGTTGCATGTGCCAGTAGTTCATTCTTCTTTATTGATGAGTAGTTGTCCACTGCATGGAGATACTAAAACTTGCTGCTCCATTCACCTGTTGATGTACATTAGGTCCTGCATAATTTGGGATTCCCAAAAATACTCTTTATTATTCTCAGGTATAGGGCTAAAAAAATTTTAAGTAATTTACAGTTTGATCCTTTTGTGTCTTTTTATCTTTGTTAGGCAGGACCAGAGGGGCATCTAGCTTACGGTTGGCTTTCTCTACTACTGAGGCAAGGCCCTTGTTTCTCTTACTAATGCCCATAGATTATAAGGTTTTCACTCTGGTTGTTGGGAACAGACACCATTCCTGGCACTGTTTCCAGGGATCCTGGTAGTTTCCTCACAAGCACGTGCTGCTCAAAGGCTTCACATTTATGCCCACCCACCACCCCCTGCAGCTCCTCAGCATCCTCTCCGGCCCTCTGCTCTGTCAACTCCAGCCACCTTGACCGCCTCAGACTCCCAGTTCCATCTCAAGTTGGAGACGTCCCCTCCCTGACTGGAATTTGTCACCAAGCAGTGAGCTGGGAAGTCACAGGGCTAGTCTCACGTTATTGTCCTTCATTGCCTGGCATCTAATTTCTTGAGAGCCAGTGTTTATCAGTCTTTGGTTTTTAGTTGTTTCAGGTGGGAGGTTAAATCTAGTTCCTGTTACTCCATCTTACTGAAAGCAGAAGTCTTATATTTAAACTTTTGTACCTAATATGCACTGACCTAGTCCACACTTGTTTTTGATGAAACGTCTTTTTGAATCAGGCCATGGGTTTGTTTTTTGAATTGATGCTCATTTCCACTTTATTTTCTTAGCTTTGATTTTTTTCCTTTGTGATTCCTAAGGCTTTTTTATTCCTTACTATAATACATGTATTCTAGCAATAATTTTTATATCTTGTATTTATACAGGCATCGATCTTTGAACAGCCCTGTAATATTACTCTCTTTAGATGTATTTTGTAAGCAACAGGTGTCGTCATAATATTTTAGTCCAGGTATGTCATTGACTTTACAATTGGTATTCAGTCTTGTGAGCATGCTTTGGAATCTCTGGTGATCTCTACAACCTGTTGACCAGTCTTTCAGGTTCTTTAGTTCTTACAATGGTCTGTTGATCCAAGTCAGTGCTAAGGTACTAGTGTTAAATCAGCTGCTTTAAGATGTGTGTTGTTGTCTCAGCATCTGTGGGGCAAATCCACAAGTTCTTCTTAGTCTCGTTTTTGTTCCTCTTACAATAGTTATATACTCACGGTAGATAACTGAGAAAATAGAAAGTTATGTAGAACCACACAAGTCTAAATTATTTTGATTAGCATTTTAATGTATTTCCTTTTTTTCTATTCATTTATATAAATATTCACAAAACTTGAAGGAGTGATATTGAAAATGTTTAAAAAGCAACATTATATAGGCACCAATCAACAAGAACAGTAACTGTAGTGCTAGAGCAATGTCCTAAAGTTCTGCAGTGCAAAGCTCTTTGGGTTGGATTGGGGAGAGGTGAACTGGAGTCCTTAGGGTAGGGCCCAGGGTGGTGGGAGACAGGAAGGACACTTGGCACAAGGCGAGGGCAAAAGTATTTCTTAAACATAGCAACTGTAAGACTATATAGGTGCATACAGGCCGAAAAGCAGCTTAGATCATTAATATATACACACACACATATACATGTGTATATGTATATTTTTTCACTTTAAACATTTCACTGGAAAATTTTTCTTATTCAAAAATGTCAATGGTTGCATGTTTTTCATGACAACCATATAATGGTAGATGTAGTCTTTGTCATACATTTAGGTTATTTAGAACTTTCAGTTGTATAAATAATGTGATCAACATCCCTATGTCACATCTTGTTGGTTTATACTATAAAAATTAAGGTGCTTTGTACATATTAAATTGCTTTTTCAGTATGATTTTTATAAACAATGCATGATGGTAGAAAGTATCTATGAATTACGTATCAGTTTGTGTAAACTTGCAAGGATTTTGAGACTTCTATATTAAGAAAATTTTCTCAGTATTATATGCCTATTTTCATAAAGTTAAAATTCTATGTGTTCATAACAAAAAGTACATAATGTTACAGTAAATTTCTAAGAGTACAGAGACTTTGTTTTTCCAGTATTCATGAGATGATTGAAAATGTTTTGATGGAGGAAGGATTGTACAGTTGAAACGTACCATGACCCTGGTATAGTCAATGTCTCAGTTAGAAATAACTTGGGCATACCAGTGGAGGAGCTAGAATATACATATAATCCATGGCTTAAGCCACATCCTAGAGACTAGGGTGACTGCAAATACAGTAGCTAGACATTTCGGTCACCATTAAGCCCTTTGAAGGGCAGGACCAATTTCAAACCATAATAGAACACTGGACTTTAAGAACAAGATTTGGTCTGTGTACTGGCATACTGCTTGTCTGGCCTGTCTCCTCATGGGTTAAGTGGGAGCTAGGTGACAGTATCTACGGTCTGTTATTTTAGTGGCTTTTAAACAAATGTGGTATTCAACCACATCCTTCATCTCTGGGAAAGAAGTAGGTTATTATAACACCAGATTTAGTAGAACAGTAAAAGTTGCCATACATAGCACTCTAGAAGGCAGGAAAATTCGTTTTGTCCCCAATTCCATGCTTTCACATTTTACTTTATGGAAATTTTATGTATTTATGAGAATTTTATTCTCCAAGTAAAGATTATTTTCATTTTAAGGGGACTGGGCTTACTGTCTGATATAACATGAACTTGCTTAAAAATCAGCAAAGTGAATTTTGTTGACTTTTAGTTCTTGACACTCAATGTAGTTTACTCAGCATTTTGGTTAAAGTTGACTTAGCCTGTATGTGTTCCCTGAAATCTGTCACAGCCTTGTGCACAAAGGTATCAATAAAATGTTCATAGAGGGAAAACCTTAGGGAAAAGAAAATCAAATGTCTTTTTATTAAATCAGTCAACCCACTGGGCATCTACTATTTGCAGAGCACTCAGGGTTTGCAAACCAGGCTGATGAACACAATCAGCTGTAGAACTTAAAACAAAAATCAAATCCTTTAGCCCTAGTTTCTTCAGGGATTCAATAGGTCTGGAATGAGAGATAGAAAGCTGTATTTTTTAAAAAGCTCTTTGTATGATTGTAATGATCAGCCAGGTTTGACGGATCTCTATCCTCAACTGATAGTTTGGCATTATCAAAAAGTGAAGGCTTATACTTCAACTATTCAGAATATCCCAAGAATTGATTACTCTTTGAAGAAGAGTGACCTCTGTCTTCTTTGCAATTCTAAGAATTAAAAGTGTAAGTAAATGCTACAAATTGGATATTTATGAAAAGCACAAAATGGTTCCCTTTGCTTTGTTTCCTATAAAATTGTTTTGTTTGTTCCACAGAAGAAGATGATGATGATCTCTTTGATGACCCTCTGCCAGTACCTTTAAGGCACAAGGTTCCAAACCAGCAAATTGTTCACCCTGAGGTATTTTCAATGACTGCAGCATTAGAAAACCAGCCCGGGAAACTGAGACAAAGCACAGGCTGCTACAATGCAGAGAGTATGCAAAGCTCTCTTGTGGCAAACTTTGTAGATTGTGAAGAATCCAACAGTGAAAGTGAAGAAGAATTAGAAAACCCAGCTTCCCTGCAAGAAGATCTGAGCTCTGTAACACTTCCCCAGCAAAAGGCTGATGGGGATGTACCCCAGTGGGAAGTATTCTTTAAAAGAACTGATGAAGTCACAGACGAGAGTTTGGAAAACTGCCCTTCTTCTACAGAGGCGGGGGGATCTCAGTCACCGAAGCTTTTCAGTGACTCTGATGGAGAATCAACCCACATCTCCTCCCAGACTTCCTCTCAGTCAACACACATAACAGAACAGGGAAGTCAAGGCTGGGACAGCCAATCTGATACTGTTTTGTTATCTTCCCAAGAGAAAAATGGGGATGTTACTTCCTCAAACAAAGCTGGCTGTAGACCAAGAATCAAAGAGACTATTCCTGCCTCTCACATGGAACAAAATGCACTTTGCCCAAAGGATACTCACTCTGATTTGAAAAGCAGACATCAAGATGTAACGGTAGTTCCTACTGTTGAAGAACCGACTATTCTAAGTGGTAGGGAACATATACCTCAGGAGAAAAGTCAGCTAAATCTGAGCACAAATGCAGATTCACAGAGCTCCTCTGATTTTGAAATTCCCTCAACTCCAGAAGCTGAGCTCCCTCAACGAGAACATTTACGATATTTATATGAGAAGCTGGCAACAGGTGAGAGTATAGTAGTTGAAAAGAAAAAATGCTCACTGTTAGATACTTAAAATAACATTTCATCCTAGAGCAACCATTAAAAAAAACTCTGCAAAGAGAGAATAGGCACTATCACAATACAGAAATTAAAACGGAATACTTTAAAATGTTCAAATAACCTAACAGACAGCAGTGAAGGGGAAACAGAGGAACAAAAAACATGGAAAGCAAATAAAACTAAATCCGAACATATCAATAATTACATTAAAGACCTCTACACCGAGGTCTAGACAACTCAGTGCAAAGACCCTTGGGGCTGAGTGTGTGGCTCACGCCTGTAATCCCAGCATTTTGGGAGATGGGAAGATGGCTTGAGCCCAGGCCCCAAAGTGAGCTACAATCTTGCCACTGCACTCCAGCCTAGGGTGACAGAGTGAGACCCTATCTCAAAAAAGAGGAAAACAAAAAAGCCAATAAACCCATCACATAGCCAACTATATGATGTCTACAAAAAACTCAATTCACACGACAGAGGTAGAGGTAGGTGAAGAGTCAAAGGATGGAAAAAAGACCACGTAAACACCATGAAATGAAAAGTGGAGAGGCTACATTAGTAACAATTTGCTAACGATGAGAGGTCAAGTTCACCAAAAAGACATAAGAATCCTAAATGTGTCATGCACCTCACAATAGCTTCATTGGAGGAAAAAAAAAGATACAAACTAATGCACAATTAGAAATAGGGACTTGTAACATCTCTTAGTAAGAAATAGTACATACACAACAAATCAGAATGTCACTATTAGCCAACCGGATTACATTGACATTTGTGTAACACTCCACCCCAAAACAGCAGAATATATCTCTTAAAGTGTACATGGAACATTCACCAAGATTGACCATGTCTGGGGCCATAAAAATACTTCATTAAGTTGAAAGAATAAACTTGGATACATATTGGATCTATAATAATAAACTGATGGCTACAGAAAAAATAGACACCTTATTTCCAAACATGTAACATCATTAAAGAACCTTGACAATTAGGACATACAAGAAAATGCTTTAGAATTAAAAGGCTAAAAAGTGTGTTCTGTGTCATTCACCTTCCTCAGAGTCCATCAATAGGGTATGCTTTTGTTATGTGGATTTAATAAAGTTTATATTTGTACATGCTTTGGTATACTGACATTTCATAAAATAAGGAAGTAGAAATCACTTAAAACAAGTTTAAATAATCTCTAAAACACAATTTGCACATTAAACTAAATGATATGCATTATCACTATGCTGCATGGCAATTCAACCAATTAGTAATGGACCCACAAGATTAAGGTAATAGGATTCACTATATATGTAACTGTACATACTGATACTGAAGACTTAGTTCCACCCATTGTACCTTATGGTCCAAGGTGGCTGTTCAAAAATGCCTATAAATATTCTTCTGAATATATTCCCAGCATTTTATACCATCGATTTAGTATTACACACTGCCACATACTGTTTCATGTGTGAGTCTGGCATCATAAATGCTGACTGAATTTTAGGGCTAACAGCACCAGAACAGACTCTGATCAACAAACTTGTGACCACCAAAAATTTTAAAGCAAAGGTTTAGAGTACACAGTTACAATAGCCAATACTCATATATGATGCTTCCACTAAAAATGCTCAAGTTTTTCACACATTATATATTACCTCCGTTGATCCTCATAGCCATCCTTTGAGGTAGATACATTTCTTCTCCCCATGTACAAATGAGGCTAAGGCACAGAGGTTAGTTCACATATCTAGTAAGGAGCAAAGTGAGGATTCAAACACAGGCAATTTACCTTCAGAGTCCATACTCTTAACCGCTATGCTATGACATCTCTCAAAAAGAGCACTAAAAAAGGGCCAGGACTAATTGTAGTGGTTACTTGAGTTGTACCTCAAGAACTACAAATTATAGGCCAGGTGCTGTAGCTCAGGCCTGTAACCCCTACACTTTGGGAAGCTGAGAAAAGAGGACTGCTTCAGGCCAGGAGTTCAAGACCCTATCTCTACAAAAAACAAGAAAAATTAGCCAGACCTGGTGGCACGCACCTGTAGTTCCCAGCTACTCGGGAGGCTGAGGCAGGAGGATTGCTTGAGCCCAGGAGGTTGAGGCTGCAGTGAGCTACGATCATGTTACTGTGCTCCAGTCTAGGTGACGGAGCAAGACCCTGTCTCAAAAAACAAAAACAAAACCCCCTATAAATTATAAAAGGAAATGTGAAGAAAAATAGTTTCAAAACCGCCAAGATATATTACAGAAGAAACTCACTAGAGCTAGCCACATTTGCCTTAGAAAGCAGTCCTAGGACTCAAATGTTTACATAGTAGAAATCGATTTTTTAAAAAGTTTGCCTGAAGCTGAAGATTATATATTTTTAGTACTAGCTGAGTGATCTTGGGTATGTAAATGTTAGCTAGCCTAAGCCTGTTACCTTAGGTGCAATATAGGGACGACAAAGCCAACCTCAGATTCATGAGAAGTACATGAATATATATAAAGGGCTTGCTCAATGAATATTAGCTCCGAATTCAAAAATCCCTTTGCATTTATTTCCAGGCAGTATTTAGCACAGGATGTTTACCTGATGAGCAGTAATGCTCAAAAAACTTCAGAAATATCTATCCACAGTACCCTAACTGTATATTTGTACTTTATATTCAAATTCATGAACCATGATGACAAGCTTTCTTAAAAGGAAAATTACATTTAAAAGAATTGTATATAAACCTTCAGTTAATCTTGTAAGTAATCAGGAGTGTATCAGTACTTTTCTGCCTTTTTGGTAGACTTACTGCAAATGACCAACAAAGCTAAGCCATGGTAAATAGAACATCGACTGATAAACTAAATTTATTTCGCTAAGGAGAAACTGTTGAACTAAAAAGTACAGTCTAGACGACTTCAGGTATGTGGGGAAGAACCCTGAGATTAACTAATTGTATATCACAATCCTCTTATGTAGATACTGAAAATGTTACTATTAATCCAACTTGAACAGTGGATTTACATTTTAAACTTGATCTATATTACCTTTGATTATTTGCTTTATACAGAGAGAACAAATTCTGACATCTTCAGGAAACTAATTTAATTAAGCCAAATGTCAACTCAATAGTTAAAGCCCCTAATAGCTTCATTTAAATAATTTCTATTTTACTGCTGAAGTTCAGCTTTTCTTTTTTTAGGAAATATATTCAGCTTCACCAAAGTTCAGATTTTTAATAATGAAGGTAACATAAGTACCTATGGTCCCAAAAGCCCATTAAATGTCTATTAATAAGGACAAAACTACAAGTTTACTGACAATAGTCTTTTTCCCTTCGCCCTCCACTTTTACAATATTTTTAACACACAAAGTCAACAAGATCCGGTAACTAGACAGTAAAACATTGACTTTAAAAAATTACGTCTTTAAACCCACAAGAATCATACTTCAAATCAAGCTTGGCCACTGGGGCAACATATAAACCTGTGACTCTTTCTCACCACTGACGCTATGAGGCTAATTTTTCATAAAAAAAAAAAACCAAAAACACAAGAAATGCCATTTAAAAAGTGTATTTTTCCTTAATACATTCTGCAAATTTTGGTTACCAGATATACTCTAAGGCTCCAGACATGTAAACAATTTATCCTATATTATGAACGAGCAAAGTCATGTGATGGCAAGATAATGAATAATAAAGGATAGCTTCTCCCAAAAAAGAGGCTAAGGAGTAAGAAGATTTGAAGTGCTGCATTCAACTTTTACCTCAGCTTATTTTAGGCCATGAAAACCTGGAGCAGTGAGCTTAGGTAGAACTTAATTTAGGAATACTGAAAGCTAGATGTATTCACTGCATTTACCTTCACATCACTGGACGCCATGATTAGAAATCCTAGAATTAGAAAGAGATGGAAATGGTTTTTCCTGATTGAGGTTTTATACCATGCCAGGGGAAAAGAACCCCCAAAACAAAAAAACACAACCCCAAAAACGAATAAATTCAGTCTTCATAGGTCAACTAATAAAAGGTCTCATAATTCAGGCACACGCTTTGGCCAAGGTTACCTCTATCACATTTAAAAAATTCATGTATAAAATGAGTATCAATTCCAAATATAGATTAATTTTTAAGAAAGGCCTTCCGGAAATATAAAAATAATTAAATTTGGTGGAAGCGAAATGTTAAAACTGCCTGAAATTGAAAAGATGTACTGTTAATGCACATTACATTATCATTGGGTATAGCTGCTCTCCCCAGATATCTTGTTTTACTGTTTAGATTGCAGGTACTCAACATGGATCTCCTAATACATGGTCCTAAGAGGTGCCCTTAAAGTACTCCATCCCTCTGCCTGGTCCTCCCCCAAAACCTTCCTGGTCCCACTGTCCTGCCCTTTTAAAGCAGCATAATGGCCAGCCATTCCAGACTTTTAGGAGATTTTTTCTTCTATAGGATTAAAAAAACCTTTAAGGATTACAAGTTCAGACATACATCCCTCATAATGGTCTTAATTGCTTCACAATATGAAATCAAGCTGAAATATTTTTACACTGAATTTTAAACCTTAAATTTCTGTATCATTAAGATGCCAATGTTTTAATGAAAAAGTAGAAAATAGAGTATAAAATTCAGTATCACCTATTTGTCTCAAATACAAGTACAGTGAGTATTAAACAGAAATGACAATGTAGTAACAAAAACAGAACTGGCATGTTTGCCCAGACTGAATTAACTCTATTTTTCCGAATTTGGGGTGTATGTGTGGCAAGTCGAATTTCTGATCTCAGCAACTGTTATGAGTTTAACACTTTTCAAATACTGAAGGCGGCATTTTTCTATTCACATGGACTTCTTACGTATGCATATGCTGACCCGTAAATAGTTTGCCTTCTGTATTTGGTCTCCAAGCACTACATATGTAGACTTCAAGTCAGTCTATGTGGCCCAGTGGCACTCTCTTTAGAAGCGTTGGTAATACATTTGGCAAATGTGTT